TCTGCACTTTTTGATTAAGAAAAAAAGCATTAACTTTTATCTGTATTATGCTCCCTTCTATTATCAATGTTCAAAAATGTTTAAATAGAAAATAAATTACCTGAAGCAAGAAACATCAGCTTCTTGTAAAATTATCTACCGAAATAAAGCTTAATAAATGATAGGCCCTATGCAGAAACCCTCCACTACAGCAGCAGGTGCTGATTATTGTTTTGTCACAGATTTAAAAAAAATTATAATAATGAACTGCTCGCAAGACTTTGCAATTTTTTTAAATTAAATCAAATTGCTTCCTAAATTAGAGATCAAGTGAAAAAATAAAGATTTTTCTTTTCTGTCCTCCTCGATGAACAATAAGAAATCATCTCTCCCCTTTTTGAAATCTAACAAGCAAAATGACCAAAACCAATTCATCGGGCAGGCAAAGCTGACCTGCAGTGCTTCAGCAACATATTTGCAGAAACTTAGTTTGTGGTAAAAGTTTTTATTATGGACTCTGGCACAATTTACAGTGGGTGATCGGTTAACGAACAGATCGGTTAACGAACAAATCGGTTAACGAACACTTTCATGAAGGATTTTTGTGTTCGGATAACGAACACATATTCGGATAACGAACACTTTCAAGAAAGATTTTTTGTGTTCGGACAGCGAACACATATTCGGATAATGAACAAAACAAATTCTAACGAATACTTCTCGGCCTGAAACAAATTTATATTAAACATTTGTTATCATTTTACATACAAAATAAGATCACTGAAAGGAGAAATGTTTAAAGCATGCTTAGTATTGATAATTATACTAAATGAAACTTGAATTATGGAGAATGAAGGAGTAACGAAAATCACATCTGCGTAGCAAAGAAGTGCAGTCCATGATAAAATGGAAAGGTTGCTTTTAGTTTGGATAAATGAACGGGAAATAAAAAGAGATGTAACTAGTATGCCTATCATTCAAGAGAAGGCTAGAAATTTTTTTGTGAAATTGAAAGAACAAACTCCAGGTTCGTCATCCGAGGAGTTAGAATTCAAGGCTACCACTGACTGGTTTACAAAGTTTAAAAGAAGGTCTGGAATTATTACTGGAATACATGTATTAATGCATGGTGAGTCAGCTAGTGCAGATAAAGAAGCAGTTGAGAAGTAATGTCTCAAATCTCAATAATTCATTGAAACAGAAGGGTATCGTCCACAACAAATATTTAATTGTGATGAAACTGGTTTGTTTTGGAAGCGCATGCCGAATTATACCTACATCACGAAAGATGAGAAAAGTGTTCCTGGGCATAAACCTTTGAAAGACCGATTGACGTTACTTTTGGGAGCTAACGTGATATGAAACTTAAACCACTTCTCGCTTACCACTCTGAGAATCCCAGAGCATTAAAAAAATTCCATAATTAAGAGCAAACTGCCAGTAATGTGGAGATCGAATCAGAGGGCATGGGTCACGCAGTATCTTTTCAAAGAATGGCTAGTTTGTGCCCCGAGCATCAAGGTCTACCTTGACACCAATGACTTGCCGTTGAAAGCACTGCTGCTATTGGGAAATGCACCAGGACACCCAAAGGATCTTGAAGAAAATTTATTGACAGACTTTCCCTGGCTGACAGTTCAGTTTTTACCTCCGAATACGACTTCGCTGATTCAGCCGATGGATCAGGAGATTATTGCAGCTTTCAAGAAATTGTACACTTGCGCGCTGTTTCGTCAGTGTTTTGAAGCAAGTCAATTCTCCTCAACAATGACTTTAAGAAAGTTTCGGAAAGAAAAATTTGACATTCTTGAAGCTATTTGTATCATTCAAAAGGCGTGGTCAGAAGTCACACAGCGACAGTTGATTTCTGCTTGGCGGAAGCTGTGTCCATCCTTCGTTCAAGGAGACGGAGGTGATTAGGGAGACATTTCTGAAATTTTGACATCTGCTAGAGATCTGGAATTGGAGGTGAACGCGGATGACATAGAAGAGCTCATAAAGGGACGTGAAGATGAACTGACGACAGAAGAACTCCAAGAAATTTTGAATGAAGTACACCAAGAAACACAGCGAAATGTGTCTCCTTGTGAACAAGAGGAAGACGAAAGAGGACCAATGCCGACAACTGCCATTAAAGATCTTTTGAAAAAGTGGGAGGATGTCATAGCAATGGTCTTAGAATGGCACCGAAACCTGATGTCAGTAGAGTTGGGGATCTTTACAACGACAATGCTATTAATTACTTCCGGAAAATCCTGAGAAAGAGAGAAAAGCAATCGACATTGGACATGTTCTTCAACGCCCAATAAGCAAAAAATAAAAAGGACTGATTAATATGCAAGACTATATGTATGCATTATTTTTTAAAAACTTACTAAGAAATTAGACATTTTTTAAAATTTAATTTTTTGGGTCTCCAGAACCAATTAATCGATTTCACATAGAAGTCTATGGTGAATCGATGATCGGTTAACGAACAATTCGGGTAGCGAACATAATCTTGGAACGGATTATGTTCGTTAACCGATCACCCACTGTATAGATTATTATTACATCTGAACGGGTACTAAGCACTGAAACAAGAGAACCATCCCTTTTTATTTTTGGGTTCATCCTAAACATATCCCTCTGTTACTAGAGAATTTCTGTATTTTCAGAAAATATATTTCTTCTGTGGAAATATATTCTTAGAATATCCTTAGAAAATATATTCTTAGTGGTAACAAAAATCGTGCATTAATACTCAGGGATGAGATTGGCCAAAAGGCAAAAAAGCTGAATTTCCAAGTGAGTAAATTTCAAGCGTGTGCAATCGTTTAATAATAAATTACAGACAATTTAAGATAATAAATAACAATGTGTTGACATAAAATTGCGTACTAATTAANGACATGTCCGGACTGTAGGGCGGATGGTCCAACGTCTCCCGCTTGAACTTGACCAGTTCCATGTGTGTGATTCTGGAGACGTGTGGATGCTCGTTGTCATGGAGCAGAACCACACCCTCCATGAGCAGCCCCGGTCTTTTGTTCTTGATGGACCTGCATAGGCGTCGGAGCGGCTCACAGTACACATTGGAGTTAATGGTTTTTCTGTGCTCGAGGAATTCCACAAGTAGCAGACCTTGAACATCGAAAAAGACGGTGAGCAGCATCTTGCCTGCTGACGGCACGGCTTTGAACTTTTTAGGGTGAGGTGACGACGCATGCTTACACTGCATGCTGTCCTGCTTTGTCTCTGGCTCGTAGTGATAGCACCAGGTTTCATCACCTGTGACGATCCACTCCATTAGGTCTTCCTAATACCTAAACAGATGTTGTAGTGCTTGCCCCATACACAGTTCCTTTTGCTGGTCGGTGAGCTGCTTTGGAACCCAAGCAGCACACACCTTCCGATATCGCAACCTGTCGTGAACAATTGTCCACACGGTTCCATAGTTGACATCCACCTTCACCACCAACATTCACAATGTGACACGCCGATCACTTCTCACTAGGAGGTTTGTCGATGAGATGGCTCGTGATGACAGTGTTTGCCTGGCCTGGCCTGGTCTCGGGTCATCACCCACACACTCACGGCCTGCACAAAAACGGGCACTCCATTTTCTGACAGACTTGTCAGAGACACATTTCTCCCTGTAAACTGTACTCCCCGTAACACCTCGCTGCTCCTCAATCATCAAATATTGCAACGCGAACGCCATCCTGTCCTCATGCGGACTGCCACATCATTTGGACGCCGCTTTTGATGAAAGCATTGCTCTCTCCTGCTCGTGCAGGCTCCCGCGCATGTTCTGATCTCAGTGAGAGACTCCAATCGCATCCCGAGAAGTCTCGCCATGTTCTCCCATGGCGGAATATGCAAATATTTAACTGTTACGTTTTTACGTTGTTTCGTACCTTTTCATTTGATCACCCCTTGTGTATATATAATGAACATAATATGTAACGAAAGGGTTTAATTAATAATAATAAATTAAAATTGAACTAAAGTTTCCTCATATCACTTTGCACTGTTTCATAATCGTGGAGACACAACGACATTGTCGCAGAATGTTAACCAGTTCTTGCAGGATGATTTTTCCATTGCGAAGTAAAAAAATGTGGTTTTCTTTTTTGCAGAAATTTTCGAAAGATTTTGTCTTTTCGTCAGAATTATATTCAAAAGATGTCTTTCTCGCGCATCAGTGTGGGAAAAAAAATGCCTGTGATTTCTCTATTTTCATTTGAGAATGATGAAAAATAAAGATAATGAAATAATTTTTTTTCTGTAGAAATTTTTGCTCTATTTTTTCATTCAGTTATTACCACTGATTTCTAATACGATACTATTTTTAATACGATATTATTTATTACAACAACTGAATCTCAAAATGAAAACTAGCATTTAGTAACTCCTTTTTGAAGAGTCCCATTGGCATGATTTCGTCTTTCATTTTCTTTTGGTAGTTACTGCTACAGATTTCAAGATTTTTTTTTTTTAATGTGATGAGGAATTACAAAATGCTAAAAAGGAAATAATTAGTATATTTTCCTACAAAATGCAAGAATATTGCCAATAATATTAGAATAAAAAAATATTGCATATTCAATAAAAAAAATTTTTTATTTGATCTGATATATTTGTTTATTTAGTTTGAAGTTAACGCTTCTGTTACTTTAAATTAGTAACATGTATATTTGTTATTTTAAAGTATCTTACAGAAAGATATTAGTATTACAGAGGTATGTCACAGAAAGCCCAAAAAAATTCTGCCACATGGTTACTTTGAAATATTAAGCTTTTAAAGAAAAGCATAAAAATTTCTTTCTTATTTTTATAGTTTAAATTCAATCAGAAAAATTAGTTCTACAATAACAGAACAAAAATCGATAAAGCTAATTTTTAACTTGAAGCGATCTGTGCTTACTATGTTTCATTAACCTATACATCAAATTTTACTCTGTTTTAACCTTGTAGAACTTCCATCACAAATAATTTGTAATATTTTTTTTAACAATTGTTTATCTTACTTTATTTAGACAGCTGATATCTATGCAAAAATTGAATTTGACAACAAAGATGGTGGTGTATGGAAACAAGGGTGGAACATTGAATATGATGTAAACCAATGGAGTGAAAGCAAAAAGTTGAAAGTATTTGTTGTTCCCCATTCACATAATGATCCAGGTAGGGTGCAACGAATAAAAAATAAAACCTTGATTCTCTTAATTTGTAGCTATCACTGTTAAAAAAGATTTTACGTAGTTAGTAGTTATTCTTAAAGTATTAAGAATGTTCTAAAAATTAAGCTACTATGGCAACACTTAAAATCATACTTTCCAAACTAATATATCTTAAATATACAGGATGGTGCCGAATTCATGGTACAAACTTTAAGGGTAGGTACAGTACATAGTTATAATCATTTATTGTAAAGGAATATATGGGCACAAATGATGTGGTGAGGTGCAAACACAAAAAATAAGTGACAAGAGGAAAAGCGAAGTGTTGATTGTAAGTGTGGTTGACAAGTGTCACGTTTTTATTTTATTTTATAACAGTCGTTGAGCAGCTGACCCAATTTTTGGGTTTACAACTACTAATGTTCAACTACATAGCCTTGTAATGTTGAACCCTATCCATAAGACGATAAGGGAACACCTGAATCAAATATTGGGAGAAATTGGCCTTGGTGGAGGATTTTTTGATGGAACTAACCCGCATTTGCATTACATGGAGAGGAAGACCATGAGAAGCTCCCACGGTTAGCCTGACAGCAAGGGAACTCTAACCCATGATCCATCTACCACTGAGGATATTTCACGTCAGCACTGTGGTCGGTGCAGGCCAGATGCGGAAATCGTATTGACTGGGATTTGAACCCAGTTCCCCTCATTGGAAGGCGAATGCTCTCCCCTGTTTACAATAACTGTTCAATATTGCATCCACATGTTGTGATACATGCTTGACAGCATTGGTTGAGCGATTAGTGTAGATGTTAAAAAATGCCAGATATTTCACACACACGTGCAGCAGTTTTGGATATCCGAGCAACAAGATCCTCATCTGAGTCAAGTGGAGTCGCATAAACAAGGTTCTTCTGTTGCCTCCATAAAAAGAAAACTAGGCTCAATAATCAAGAGATCAGGGTTGCCAATGGACTGGTCCACCACGCACAATCCATCGTGCCCCATTCACTGCATTCAAATAAGTGCGCACATCAGTGCTTTGGGCTGGTGCCCTATCATGCACATGCGGTTACGAATGGCCAATGGAACATCCTGCAGTAGTTCTAGTAACACCTGTTCCAGAAAAATAAGATAACATTCACCATTAAGTTGCGTCGATAGTAAGTACGGCCCAATCAAAAAGTTGCTGATAATACCAGCCAACACATTCACACGAACTCGTTGTTGCATGTGGATTTTCGGCTGTCCACACATGGGAGTTGTGTGCATTAAAGACACCTTCACATGTAAGTAGCACATGAGCTATGAAGTCCAGTTGCAGCACACATTGCTGTACCACCCACTAGCAGAAGTTCAGGTAGGGAGGATAGTCTGCCGTATTCAATGCTTGTACTTGCTGAAAATGGAAGGGGTGTAAGCAATTTTCGTTTAACGCTCTACAAAGGGTCTGATAACTAACACCTATGTGATGAGGAACAGCTCTTGTACTTGACTCGGTTCTATCGGCCACAACGTTGAAGATGCTTCCTGGCTAGGACTGCGTACAGCTCCTTGTCGACCAACTTCATGCCTGGTGACATGAAACAAACCTGTTTCACTAAGTTGACGATGTAATGAAAAATTCTGTTATTCGTCATTTGTTGATCAAGAAACTGCGTTTTATGCATTCGTAGTGTAGCTCTGCCATTACCGTTTGTATGGCCATAATTGTAAGGCATGTCTGCTTTTTCAGCATATGTTAAATTACTCATCGTATACGTCAGAACAATTGCAAATGGCTTTTTCCCTATCTGAGATGCATCATGTTAAATGGCAGCTAGTAATCTACTACTCACTACCGGCAAGACAACTAAATGATAACTTCATTTCTCTTATCTTTTATTTCCCATGTTTGCGCCTCACGACATTACGTGCGCTCATGCTTTCCTGTGCAATAAATGTCCTGTATCTACCCTGAAAGTTTGTACCATGAATTCCGGTCCACCCTGTATAAATAAATATGTTTGAATTATTGATTTGTTTTGGTAGGTAAAACAATTTAAGTTTTAAATATAAATATTGCTGCCATCAGAAATTTTTTTCTCACCAACCGCTCAAGTTGGCAACTATGTTATGAAGTTATTTTTTATTATTTTATTTTAGGTTGGATTAAAACATTTGAAAAATATTTCAAGGACCAAACACAGCATATCTTAAATAATATGGTACAAAAAATGAAAGACGATAAGAGAAGAAAATTTATCTGGGCTGAAATATCTTTCTTTTCTGTATGGTGGGAGAAAGTTGATAAGAATACTCAGTCAATTGTCAAGAAGTAACAACTTTTCTTAATATTTTTTTTATTAAATCATTTAGATTATTGCTTTACATATTTTTATTTCTTTCTAGGCTGCTATCTGATGGTCAACTGGAAATAGTTACTGGTGGTTGGGTAATGAATGACGAAGCAACAACACACTACTTTGCTATGATAGAACAAATGGTAGAAGGGCATCAATGGTTGGAGCAAAATTTGGGCAAGCACAATTTTAAATTTGATTCACATAAATAAGTAGCTTTTGGTTTCAATTGAAATTGCAATATTTTATGAAATAAAAAAACTACTTACAAAGTATTAGCATTTTCTTGGTTTAATTTTTATCGTATTGAATATCAAGCATATATTTATTTCTATGATACTGAAAAACTCTAAAACAAATTTTTAGAAAAAATACTTAGCATCTACAATGATAATCAGTTAATGAGAAAACTTATTTATATTTGCAAAAAAATTTTGCATACTTAATTACAAGTGATATTTAATAAAATAAGCCATCCTTCACTAATATGTAAATCTTAGAATCTGAGAAACATGTTAGCAATCCTTTGTTAAATATATGTTTTACACTAATTTACTGTCAGAAAATTTTTATAATTTTTCTAAAATATCTTTATTATTTTTTTAATATCTTTAATTAATTAATTATAATCTTTAATTAAATCTTATATTAATCTTATATTATTTATATCTTATATTAATTATCTTTAATTAATTTTTAGTTAATATCTTTATTATTTTGTTCTAAGTTTTAATAATTTTTGTTTGATTAGTTAATTTAAATAGTATTTTAAGAATAATTATTTTCTTGCACGTTTTTGTTTATCTTATATATCTCTTTTTATTTATTATATAACTTGTATGTTTTTGTTTATAGATTATAAACCAAAAAATGGATGGGCTATTGATCCCTTTGGCTTGTCACCAACAATGGCTTATTTACTAAGAAGGATGGGCTTGGATAACATGGTTATACAAAGAGTTCATTATTCTATCAAGAAGTATCTCGCAAAACAAAAGAGTCTAGAGTTTTTGTGGAGACAAACATGGGGTGAGCATAGTTATGCATTTTTGTGAATCATTCAGAACCTTCTCTTCTCTTTATGTACATTTCACTATTATTTTAGAAACTTGTTTATTAAAAGGTCTTATGTTTCAGTTAGAACAGGGTGTGTAGCATTTTTAAAAGGTGCTTAAAGATGCTTATTTTCGATTTTCGTTTTTTAAAAACCCTTAGAGGGGCTATTTTCATTAGGTGTTTTTAAAAAGTGCTTAATTTTACCTTCATCAAAATGACATATTTTTTCTTTAATTAATTAAGGGAAGTTATTAAGGAACTGGATAAATTGCGATTGGACACATTTTTATTTATAATTATTTAATATTTCATACACCAAAATTTGGGTTTTTGACAGTAATTTTTAAAACAAAGAGTTTTAAGTTAAAATAATTCAAGATCATAAATTGATGGAACACTTATAATTTTACATGTTTGTTAATTTAAAAATACTTCATATTTATAATAGCCAAAATTATCCTTATACCAAAATTTTGGGGTTTTGACAATTGCTAAAAACTAAGACTAAAGTTTTTTTTTTGACGTGACGTTTAAAATTAGGATAAAACCATCAATTGTCAAAAACTTGCCCTCCCTGCCTCATTAGGATATTTTTTTTTAAGTGCTCAAAAATATTCTTTGAGTGCTTGGAAACTGCTAAAAAGGAAAGTGCTTATTTTTTGTTTAAAAATTTGGCTACGCTAGGAGTGTGTTTTCCTGATATTTCAAAACTTCCTTTAAAATTTAGTTTTATAGAACAGTTTTAAAATTAAATCACTCTTTCAAAAAAAAAAAAGTTCCTTTTAACGTACAAGGAGGTTTATTAATGCAATATTCTTATTTATTTAGTTACTAATTATTATTTTTTATTTTATCAACTGAAAATAGTTGAATTGAATCAAGTTAATAAATTTTAAAGGTTTTAAACATTTTATTTTTTAAAAAAAGTAAAGTTTTTTTTAAGTGCAAGCATTTTATATTTTGAAACCTTATTGAAGTTAAAGTCTAAAAATACTTGCAACCTTAACATCGTAAATTTGTTCACTAGGTTCAATAGAACCCTGTATAAAATTAAGCAAATGTTCAAAAATAATAATTAGTTACTAAATAGGTAACTGTGTTGGTATATATCTTCATAGGCTGACAAAAGAAGTAGAATCTATTTACTTTGGCAATAAAGAAAAATATAAATTGGTTTTCTGTTTAATGCATAGTTCATAACAAGTTCTATTGATGTGTATATATTGAAGAGAAAACAAACCTTCCTGAAACATGTATGATTTACAAAGATTATCACTGCGACTGTTTTGTCTTTTAAAGAAATAAATGTTTTTGAGTAAAAAAAAAAAAAGATATAGAAAATTTAAAAAAAAATTAATCAAATATAAGTGACAATGTAGGTAACTATTTTATCTCTTTTGAAATTATTTTTTATTTGTGATATTTAAATATTTTTGAAGGAAATAGTGATGTTATTTGAAAAAGAGTAATTGCTGAAAATCTTAAATTTAGCAAGATTTTCTCATTGTTTCCCTATTATTTCTGTAATGTTTAAATGAGTGGCTCATTAAAAAATGCTTTTGTCTAAGCCACAATTTAGCGCAGTGGTTGGGTCAGTACAAACAGGGCATTAGATTAATGACACTCAAAATGTCATTTTAATATTTGTTCTTCATAGATTTGTTTTATTTGAGCCTATTTTATACATAGGGTATCTATTTTATGCATTGGGTGTTGAACTTTACTGTGATGCAATGTTTTTAAATGCATATTTTTTCTGAAAATGTTTGTTTTATTGATTGGGACATTAAATATGTAACTATGACAAATCCCATATGTATATGCTGTTGATTTCCAGATCTAAACCACACAATGGACATATTATGCCATACTATGCCTTTTTATAGTTATGATATTCCCCACACATGTGGTCCTGATCCAAAAGTATGCTGTCAGTTTGATTTTAAACGTCTGCCAGGGAATAAAGTTAACTGTCCATGGAGAGTTCCTCCTGCAGCAATTACTGAAAAAAATGTGGCTGACAGGTAATTTAAATTTAGATTAATTTTTAATTTCATTTAATTTATTCCTTATTTTAAACATGTTTTTGTAATGTTTCATTTCTAAAATTATGATTTTGATGAATATTCTATAATATGTCTTGTTGTAGAATTCTAGAATATTCTAGATGTCTTGTTGTAGAAATGACTAAAGGGCTAAAAGTTTTAGAAATTTCAGAACTTTGTTTTTAAATTGGTTAAATAAACTGAAAAACTTATCACGCTTAGTGTTGGTTCCGGCTTTTTCTGAGCTTTTAACTTGCCTCTTTCTGGTATCAAAAAAATTATTTTACAGGAAATAAAGTGTATCATAGAAATCTTAGCACAATTTAGTTCCAGTATTTTTAAAGCCACTGAGCAGTTATATTTTTTTTCTTGCAATATTTTAGAGAAACATAAATGGAAAATAAAACAATTGGTATATTTTTTTATGTTAAATTATCTATTATGTTGCATAATATGTTAGTAAATGTGGTTTTTTTATCACTTTGAAAATTCCATTATTTTATCAAATTATAATTAATAAGTGAGAATTGAAAAAAGGGAATTTGTCCTCTTTTAATGGGAGATTAAGATTAGTCAAATTCTAAATGTTTTACATAATTAAATTATTTGTGAAATATCCAATTGTCCATGTGGGAGATATTTAAAAGTAATGGTTTTATTGCTGAAATTCCAGGTACTTGTAAAGTACTTTTTTAGAAACAATATTAAAAACCAGTAAAAATGTCACCTTTGAGAAAGTGACTTATTTCTATTCTTGTATTAAGCAAATCTAACTCTTACAGTTTAAAACTTAAAAATCAGAAATTTAATTCATTTGCTTAATTTATTTTTTTTATATTTTCTTTACATTTGATTTTGAAGCAATCCTATTAACTGATACTTAAACATTTTTTGCTAATAAAATTATGCATTATTTTCTAATCAAATTACTTACCTTTATTACTAGATCTTCAAAATTTTTTTAAAATTATTTTTATATTCAATAAGATATCACTACATGTTTGCCATTCAGTTTTTCTTTGTTACAATTTTATAGATAATTTTGCAACTTACTCAAAATTGTTTTGTTTTAATAGGGCAACTGTTCTTCTTGACCAATATAGAAAAAAGGCTCAGCTATTTCGAAGCAATGTAGTTATGATTCAACTTGGGGATGATTTTAGATTTGATAAAGCTGCTGAATGGGATCAACAATTCAATAATTACCAAAAACTTTTTGATTATATCAATAGTCGGGAAGACTGGCATGCAGAAGTACATACTTTCTTTATTTTTTTAGTATTGTCCTGTAATATGTTTATGTGAAATACTATACATCTTGTACAGTGTCTGCTTTTAATATTAGCCCATCCTAATCTGAAGATTTTGATAAACAATCAAGTCTACTAACAGAAGATATACTATCTATAGGAAATATGACAGTATTTTCTCCATTTTTCGCAACATTTTGAGTATAAATATGCTATAAGATTTAGTAAAGTAAATTTACATGTTTTTGAATTTTAATTTGAAATCTGTATTGAATAAGTGAAACTATTTTAATTTAAATTTGATATAATAAGGTTAAAGTTCTGCTGTGACTTGGCGGGGACCAGAATCTGAGCGGTCAATGACAAAACATCTTATGTGTTCGCCAATATCTGAGGTGACCAGTAGAAGATCAGGCGAGGTGCACGTTCCATTATGTAGATATGTATGAGAATCACTGTGACTATAGATTAATTCAAAAGTGCTTGAATTCAGAAGGTCGTCCACTCTCCTTCCAGCTTCGTTAGTGTTATTATATCCCCATATTGGTGAATGGGCGTTAAATTTCCTCAGAAAGACAGCTCGACTCAAAGAATAAAGATAAAAGAAATCTGGTTTATTATTAGGTGGGTTGTAGGTAGCGAAATTTTTTTAAAGTTTTCCGATTTTCCAAACATTTAGTTCAATGACTTTGCTTTTATTGTAGGAGTTTTCTATGTCATTAATGATATGGATATCAGCAATTGGATCAGTTTTGACCCCGACTGGGATTCCATTCTCCACTTGTCTCGACTTAGGGAGGGTATAGAGTAAGAATCCCTTAAATGAGAAATATCTTAGTTTATCATTAGTGAAGTTTGCCTCTATGATTGTAAATACATCTATATATTATGCATGTTAAGCATCTGCACAAGTTCCGCTCTCTTGGGCTTGACAGACCACCAGCTTTCCACTGCAACACACACAAGGCTTCTCTTGATTGCATTATATACAAGGAACTAGCCAGAGTTGTAGATCGCAAAAAAGCGTTACCAGGGTGCACCTCTAGCAGGTAGATCTATGTTGCACCCCATTTTTAGTAATATAGTAATTTTAAGAAAAATGACCTAATATTGTTATACCACTTCTTTGAATAGATTATTTCTTAGAAATAACTGTGAAACATTGCCACTGGGTTCAGGAGCTCTACTTTTTTGTAGATTTTGATTATAAATTATTTTGATTCAGATGTTCAGCCATGGTGAATTTGACAGTCAAGAAAATTTCAGTGATACCATATTATACCGAGCAAACACCATCTCTTCCCGGTATTTCTAACAAATTTGAATGAGTAATCAATATTAATAAGTGTCCTCTCCATCATTCCTGCTCTCCCAAGTATGCATTTTTTTTACAGCTAGGTGGTTCTCTAAAAACTTGACATTTTCAAATCACAAATTCTTAAAAACTAAAAGTGCCTTAAAAATCTAAAAAAAATCATGCTTGCTTTCACTTTACAAGAAAAAGATAACTCACTTAAATGATGCTGGCAATTTAGTCAGTCTTCTTTCTTAGCAAATGCCAGAAGAGTGACATTTTTGCATACCAGTTGTGTGAAATTTTTTTACATAAGGCCTGCTACTTAGTTCTAAAGGCAGATTTAAGCTTAAGAAAGTTCTATTAAAATCTTCATTTTATCACTCAGAAACTGTTTCATATCGCATCTATTGGGACCATATTTTACGCTGTGACTATCCCCTTATTTTGTGAGTTAAAAATCCAAATCTGTTAAAAAATATATGTTTATTCAGAGCAAGTTATTTTTTGTCTAAATTTATAATTTAAAATATCATCTGCACAAATTAACATATTTAAGTTTGAACCATCTATCTATAAAAATTAAATCCTAGTTCCTGAAAATGCCATCTTCTTTGCAACAGCCCCTTGCAGGTCTTGGTTGCCTCAAGAGTTGACACATGCCAGCACCTCCTATCCATGGCAACTCCCAATTTTTATTCTTTAGGGTTTTCAGATCATTTTCGATATTGTTGAGCCATCTAGTAGGGAATTTACCTCTGGGAGCTATCTCAGCCTATTACCGCAGATTATTTGTGTAATTTGGGGTTGCTTATAGAGACAATAAAGCTCAAAGTTGTATCTTGTTTGCCAGCATCTCATTTCTTGAATTGGCCAAAACTTGACGAGACCTATTCCAGAGAGTGCCTCTTCGATCCAATCCACTATCTCGGATACACTTCTCCAAAGCAAAGTTAAAAAGTAGGCAAGCAAGGGAATCACCCTGATGCAAGCCTCTTTCAGTTACAAAGGGTTCAAAAAGATGGTTTTGATTTTGAATTTTAATCCTGCATCTCACAGTATTGAGTATAGTGCCGGTGAGATAAACAAATTTTGCATGTATACCGAACTCATTCATTGCCTTATGCAACTTATCCCTCTTGATGTTATCATAAGCAGCCTTGAAGTCTATAAATAAGTGAAAAGTTTTTATGTTAAATTCTTTAGAAAATACCGTCATTGGATCATAAAGTTGTTTGCTTTGTTTTGCACATACTGTCAATATGTCCTAGTCTTAATGCAATAGAAAATTATGAAAATATTCTATTGCATTCAGACTAGGATGCAATTTAAATAATAGATTTTCCTTGTTTTATTGTATTGCTTGTCAAATGTTTTTTTTTTTTTTACCAACATGGCATTTTAATTTATTTTCTATATCTTGATATTTATAATACTTATTGTAATTAATTTTTATTAGATCTGTAATACATTTTGATGCTTTTTACAGCTAAAGTTTGGGACATTAGAAGATTACTTCTCTGCGCTACGAGAAGACAGCGGTACAGATCATAGAAATATGCCTTCTAATTTCCCTTCTCTTACTGGTGATTTTTTTACTTATGCTGATCGTGATGATCACTACTGGAGTGGATATTTTACATCCAGGCCATTTTACAAAAACATGGACAGATCATTGGAGGCTCACTTAAGGTAACTCCAGACTATAGACTTTTAGATTTTACAAAATCTTTTCTCCGATCTTGAACTTTGTCTCAATTATTCTTCTCTTTCTAAGCAACTTTGTTGACACTTGCTTACAAAACTCATCAAAAATTTTAAAAAATATTTCTTTCCTTTTTGAAAATTAGTGTTCAGGTTTAAAAAGAAAAAAATCGCCATCGCGTTGAAAACATAGGCCTTTAAATAAAACTTTCCCTGTCATTATCATGTAGCTGACAAGAGCACATAAAATATCTGAATTAATCAATATGTAACAAAATAAAATATAAATGAGGTTAAGTGCTCTAATAGTTGTCAATAGATTAATTCAGGACTATGGAGTCTGAGTCCAATAAATTGACTCAATTCCAACTCATGTTAGTAAAAATTTGTGTCCTGCAGGATCTTATGAAAATTATTTAAATTATAATTTATTACAAATTTAATTGATCACATTTGAGTCTATGTTTGACTGAACTATATTCAGGAAATAATTGTAACTATTAAAAAATCTATACTAATAAATGAATAAGTTATGTTTTAATTTATGAATTTCAGAACTAAATTTATTTGACTAAGCTAATTAAAAAATATGCACCTGAATGTAAGTATCATTTGTAACAGTTTCCTAATTCGTAAATATTCCACTATACAGCCTCTTTGTTGTAAAGACATTTATATGATGTGCAGTGAGATACGGTAATGATATTTAGCTCCTCTTATAATGGTTTTCCGCAATGAATTTTTTTTTTACAATTATATATTTTCTTAAAAAATTTTCTATCCTTATATTGTAATGTAAAATTTAATTTTAAATCGAGTATCTTTTTATTAAATCAAAAATTTAAATATCTAATTTGAGATTAATATTTGATTAGTAACAATATTAAAACTTCTGTTTAAAAAAAGGAATCTGCTAGATATTTTTGTTTAAAATATCAGAATGACTACCTTTAACTTTATTACATACTGATAAAAACACTGGATTTGTCCTTCCTGCTGAATTTCTGTAGTTGTTACAGAAATTAATTGTAAAATACGGAGTTGCGGACTTGAAGTAAAAGACTACAAATTGAACCGACTACTTCAGACTTTATTAAACCCTTATCACGACAAGTTCCTTCACTTCTCCTACTTTCTACGGGAGAGAGTAAGTTTTCTGTTGTGACTTATTCCTAAGGGTCTAGATACAAACTAGACTATATCCAAGAAGTTGTGAATCCTCAAAAAGACATATACAGTAAGAGGTTTAGTTATAAGGTCCTCGTGCAAAAGCACCACTCAGTGGTGATGTTCTGGGGAAGCCTGCATTGACGTGCACTTGGTGCACACATGATAATATTTCTGTCCATCAATAAGGCTCCCTATTTGTCCACTCATAAACCCGCTGATAGAGCTCTGGACAGCTCTATAACTCCCAATCTTGAGGAAATAACAAGGAGTTTTCCCAGAATACCAGAAGTGGGTTGAAGGAGTCCTACATATTTTCTGATTTGCAATCTTAGTTTTAGAGCTTAATTCTGAAAAGGTTAGCTCGACACTTGAAGTTGATAAGCCAGAGGTCCAGTTTTTGTGCAAGAGTGTCAGCAGTTTCATTGCCCTGAAGGCCCATATGTGAAGAAATCAACTAAAAATATATCCTGTGTTGTTGTGGAAGCGCCTTGAGGTCTTTAAGAATCATGACAGGGGTTCTGTCACCCACTGTAGTCCAGTTGCTCAAATGCTGAATGGCATAATGTGTGTTTGTCAAGATTCAAATATCCCCAGATGTTTCTGGAATCAGGGCTGCAAGTGCCTCTTTTATTGCATTTAATTCAGCTCTAAAGACAGAGCAAAAATCTGTTGTTTTTTTTTAAATTAGATTTGCACACTGTGAGATGATGAATTAATGAAAAAACCACTGCCACAGGCATAGTTGTCGTCTCTGTTGCCATCCATATAAACCTGGATAGCTGATGTTCTAATTTGGTTTATGATCTCAAGAAAAAACTAAAAGAGGTATTCAGGTAAATTGTGTTGTTTATTGGTCCGAGCACCCAATTCGATCTGAAAATGTAAACCGGGCAGACCCTCAATGGATTAATGAATATTCTTAAGCTGTGTTCCTCGATATCTGGGTGCAACAAGTCCATCCAGTGCAATCTGTAAAATTGACTATCTCTCTTCAGCCTCTGATTGTTTACCCTGTCCTGAGGAAGACAGAGGTCCTATTATGATCATCATAGCTATAAAATTTGTTAAAATACTGAGCAAGGCCCGTGCTTCTCCTCAAACTCAAGGACTGCAAGTCAGATTCATAAAGTACCAGATCTGTGAGGAAGAACTTTTCATACCAGTAATAACTCTCACAGCACTCAGCTGTACTCTCTCTAGTTTTGTCAAGTTGGTGATTGCAGCACAAAAGTAAATTGGAAAGCTTAATTAAAGAATGTAATTGGAAACTTAATTAAAGGATTGATCATAGAGGTATAGGTTGCTCTGAGTTTGGCAGCATCAGCATCCCTTAAATATTGCCTGTTATATATTTAAGCATATTCAATCTCTTTTTACTCTTCTCTATCAGTTACTCAGTATCTCTGGGTCAAGAATATATCCTAGATACTTTGGATGTTTATTATATTTATTATATCTGTCCACTCATCACAATATCACGATGGTAATTATATAACTGATGATTTGGAGCAAAAAACTGCAAGTTGAATTTGAAACGTTAAAACAAAGATTATGGCTTTCAGCAATATTTTGGAGACTGTTGTTTACTTTTCGAAGAAGATCCTTTGCCTAAAGCTCCATCCCACCCCTGATTATTCTGCACAATGTGTGATGCAGCATGTACTACAGAAGAATCATGACTCATTTCTGAAGTAAGTGGTGGACAGCTTCTGAGGATCAGGACTGACTTAGCTCCTGTGCTTGCAGATTTTAGCTGAGCATAATGGAGTGACCTTCATGCCTTGGGTGCCCCTACCAGGAGAATACGCTCCTGACATACTTCACCTACTCCGCCCAGGTATACCCCCTTACCACATTGAGACAATCTGCTAGGACTTAAAGGGGTAAACCTTTACTCCAAGTTTCCTTCTCTCCTGATATGACTTGCAATAATTTCTTATAAAGAATGTCAGACTATGTAAAAACAAATGGTAAAAAAAACTATCAGAAAATGATGTAGATTTGGAGCAAAATTTGTATTATTTGAACGTGTTAAAACATGGTGACTGAAATTAAAAATTTGTTTGTTGTAACAATGTATTAAAAATATCATAGTTAGAAAAACCATTAGGAAGGAGCTGAAAAAATGATTTATTACAACTGAAAATACTATAATCTAACAACACAAAGTTACGATGGAATGTAAAGTGCCAACCCTTAATATATACTCAATTTCGAAGATTCTTATAACATCGTATTAAATATATCGGAATTTAAAGAGCGATAGGGAGACGACCAGATAAAACAATGAATTACTGACGAAAAACTGTCATTTAACAACATGAAATATGATGGAATGCAATTTGAAAGAGGCCGGAAAAATGATAAGTAACTTTAAAATAATTCAACAAACAACTTCAAATCGCAATTGTCAAAAATCAAAAGCTTCAAAAAGTCTTATCTCAAATTTGAAATTCACAAGCCATAATAGCTTATTAAATATAGAGTTTGTAAAACTGTAGCTTATGTTGATTGTTCATTTGTACAGCAGCATAGGCATCTGTTAAAATTTATTGTTTTTTTGTAGTTGTTTTTACATAATTATTTTATCAATGTTGTAGCAGTTTTGTGGTTGAAGGGTTATATTAGTGAATATAAAAATTGTACCATAAATGTGTAAGCCTTGGGTTGCCAATGTAGGACGGATGCCATGATGACCAACACATATCTTATTGTCCTTTCCTAAATCCATCTATTGCACTTTTCTCAAACATTACCTTTTTTACCACCCTGTTTATTAGTTGTATCACTTTTATTATAATGTTAAAAAGAAGTTTTTTTTTCTTCTCTTTTCTATACTGATTTTTTATTAATTTCCAATATTGTCATTGTAGGGGTGCAGAAATATTATTTAGTATAATGATGGCTAAAATAGAGAAACAAACAATATCATCTATACTTCCTTATATTGCTATGTTGATGGGAGATTTAATATCATCCAGAAGAACTCTTAGCCTTTTTCAACACCATGATGCCATCACTGGAACATCCAAGGATCATGTGGTTATGGATTATGCTTCTAAGTAAGTATTTGGCAGAGAATTTCACAAAAATATGCATGCCTACTAATATTGTATTAAATGTTCCTGAAAATTTTAAACAATTGTTTTAACCCATTTTCAGCTCAAAGTGCTTAAACGCACCATTTTATTAAATATTTTTTTATAAACAATGACATATTTTTCACTAATTCTATTTTTCTGCTATTTTTAATGGGTTCTGTAGACATCCATAATATATTGTTATTTTGTTGAGAAGTTTTCAAAATATGCTAGTTTTTTAATTTGAAATGGCTTATTAACAAATTTGACTTTTTGAAAATGCATAATTATTCCACTTGAGATTAATCATATGTGTTAATGATGAATTAAGGTTGCAAGTTCTGTAAATAAAATTAAAATTAAACAAATACCATGAAAAACTAGTGTTCAATTAAATGGTTTGTCAATTGATTTTGTCAATGGTGTAAATATGCACCATTTTTTTTCTTAAGTAGCGTCAAAAGCTAGCTGACTATCAAACTGACTACTATTCCAAAAAAGAAGCATTAAGTAGCTCTTGAGAAAAATATTATGTAAGCAATTATTGTATTAAATATTGATTAGCATTAAACTGAAGTTTTTTTAAAAAAATTTTGAGAGAAGTAAAGAATGTCATAAATCACTTGTTTTCAAACATTAATATATGTTGAGTTGCTGCTCAATATTCTTCAAATAGATAAAAACTTTACAAGACATTTATTGAGAACAAATATCACAGTATTCCTGTGTATTAAAGTTAAAATTTATAACAGAAAGCATATTTTCCATAGAAAGTTGTAACATAGGGTTCCCACGGTACTTGAAAAACCTTGAAAGTCCTTGAATTTGCTTGAAAAAAAATCAGGGCCATGAAAAGTCCTTGAATTCTGCCATAGAGTACTTGAAAAGTACTTGATTCTTTAGGAATTAAAATACCACTAATTTTTCTTACAAAAAAAGTGGTAAAAAAATAATGAATAAATTCAAAGGGAAATTATAGAAATTTTGATTGATGCAATTTTTAATGCTTGAAGTGAAAAGGGGAAAAAGAAGATGCAAAACTTTTCTCTCCTAGATCTTTCAGACCAGATTATTGTTTATCTCTCTGTTTTGAAGACTGAAATTTCTAGCAAATTTTAGGTTTTGAAGCATAGTTTTCGAATGATATATAGTGTTTAATTGATTCAGAAATATGTTCAATGTGTTAACTTCATTATTACCATAGGTTAATATTGTTATCCTATTTGTTCTTTCAATTTATGTATGAAGGGTAGTTAATTTTTTATCATTTATAATCAAATTTTTACATTTAGTTTTTAAGCCTAATAAATCAAATTTAGTTCTACAGGTTTCATTGATTATGAATAAACATCGTGATTCACATTAAACTGATCTTGATTTACGGATCAGAATTCATATAAAATGTTCTACGAATTGAGGTTTAACTGAAGGGGTTAATGAATCACATCGAATATTACTTTAAAGTGATTTTCAAATTACTCATCAGAATTCATATTAAGGTATTTCATAAATCACACATCATGATTCACATTAAGTGATTTATCAATCACACATCATGATTTCAATTAAAGTTATTTCTGAGTCTTTCTGACTCTCCTAACTGTACTGTATGTGCAAATAGGGCTTATATGAATGGTGGGCATCTATGGAGCTGCTCTGCCCTCCAGGAGGCCCACAATTCTTTTAGTTTCAAGACACTCTCCGCCCCTGGAGATATTTCTTTGCTATATTGAACTGCAAGACTTCTCATGCTCGAGAGAGCAAATGATGGATGTAATTTTAAAAAAAAGTTTACAAATCACACATTGCGATTCACAAAAGAGAGATTTAAGAATTACCACCCACAATTCTCATCAAAATGATTTAAGAATCACACGTAGCTATTCTATATTAAGGACCTTTCGAATCAGAAATTGCAATTTGCATCATAAAGATCACTATTCACATGAAAACTGTTAGCTAATCACGCAACAGAATTCACATTAAAGTGATTTATGTATCTCACATTGTGAAATATGTCTTGTTAGTGTGCATTTTGTATCATTTGCTATTCATATTATTCTGATTTAAGAAACATACACCGCAATTCAATTTACAAATCACAAATTGTGATAAGTGATTTACGCAATCTTCGAGATTTACTTCACTTTTCTTATAATTTTGATTAGCATATAGTATATCTAGATTCATATAAATGCTATTTAAAAATTATGCTTAGTGAAAATTACGCATATTCACAAAATTTTAAAAATCACGCTTCACAATTTATGGATATATTTTAAAGAAAATTAAGCTCAGTAAGTCTAAGTTAGTTATCTGTAAAATTTGTTCTGCAATAGATTTTATTATGTTCAAATACATTACTGATATTCTGAAGTAACAAAATAGAACATTTAATATTAAAATTGAAACAGATATGTTAAATGGATATCTTTTGATAATTTATCTAATTAAATACATTTCATGTAACCTAAAATTTGATCTAGCATATTAAAACAAAGTATTTATATTTTAATAACCGTGCAATTACTCAAACTTCATGAATTATTTACTATGCTTGTTTAATGTACTATGCATTTTACATCCATTCAGTTTCATTAATTCTAATTCACTTCATTAAAGTTTTCATGAAAAGTTTCACTGATGCTAGTTTTTAAATGTTGGCTAGTATCCTATGTCAATTGGAATTTTTCAAAGTGATTTGAAACAGCAATGTAGCTATCAACCATTTGTATTATTACCTGATAAATTTAATGAATAATTGTTTTGTTCTGAAGTAAGCACTGTGATTTAAAAATATACTACTTCTGCTTGTACGTCATTGAAAAATCTGGTTGACATGTACTTTAGCATATAACAATAATACCGAATAGGTCCTTGAAAATTTGATTTTAGGTCCTTGAAAGTCATTGAAAAGTCTTTGAATTTTTTTAAAAATTGAGTGGGAACCCTGTAACAATCTAGTATTTAGGGATGAGATTTTTCTGTTTTTTAGCGGATTTCCGCTTTTTTCACTTTTGTCTCTCGAATTTCAGCCTTATTATCAAAAACTCCAATTCTTAAAAAATTTAATTTTTTTTTAATAAATATTCCATTTTTTCAGAAAATTCAGCTATTGAAATGAAATAAATATATTTTTTCTGATTTTCGAAGTTAAACAGAAAATTCAAACTACATATTTACCAACCCTTCCGCGTTTGTACTTATTTTAGCTATTTTCTCCGTTTTTACGCGCAGAAGGTAAGATTTTCCTCATTTTTACCCACCCGCCAGATATCTCGTATTTTCATAATTCAGACGTCGCTGCTTCAGGCAAGTCTTTTAAAAGTCTCAAGCCCGGAATCTGATAATATCTCGATTCTTATACTCGATTTTGATATCCCGGATCGCAATTTGTATTCACGCAATTTTAAGAACGATTATAGCGATTATTATAATAAGTAATTTTTTTTCTTGAATTAGTTGCAATAAAGGTGACTGCTTTTATATCGACGATTATTAGCATATGTAGGTGTTACAACATCAGCGAAACTGGAAGAGAATATATTTAAAACTTAGATTCTGTGCTTTCAAAGAAGAAAAAGTAGGATTTGTCACTAGATGTTTGAAGATGGGCCAACGACTAAATATAGCAAACATAAAATATATAGCAAACGAAAGCAATCACTTAAGAAATTATTCAATTTTTATTTATTTATTTTGAAAAAGACTTAATTAACTCAGGATCAAAATCCAAAATTTAAAAAATAGTGTTGCTGTTATTTATGCTATAAAATGCAAAATTCTTATCTAATGAAAAATAATTATCTAAACAGTTCCTGATTATGTAATTTTTCAAACTAAAATAGCAATTTTTGTATGTTAAGGAGTTACTATATATTTCTACTTCACTGTTATTGATATGTTTCAGAGGGCTGTAGTTAGATTAGACTATAATATGAACATAATGATTCGGTCCATTGTTAAAGTTTTTTTTTCCAATATAATTTAAAAAGTAATATTACTGATATATTTGCTATAAATCACATAACAGTATTTATTAAAAGAAATGAAATATTAATGTATATTCTCAGTAGTTTTAATTTGCTAAACCAGGTAGTTTTTCAAGTAATAATTGTCTCTTATGTGAACTAAAGAAAAATATAATTTCTAGCTTTATTTTTTCAGTTGGTAATTTTTCTTTTTACTAAATGCTAAGTATCGATGTAATCATTTATACAATAATAAATTAGTACACAATTTTACGTCAACACATTGTTATTTATTATGTTAAACTGTCTAGAATTTATTATGAAAAGATTGCGCGTGTGTAAAATGTACTCGCGTGGAAATTCAGCTTTTTTGCCTTTTGGCCAATCTTATCCCTGACTATTAAATGATCAATACTTTTATTAATAAAAATTGTTACTAATTATTTTATTGAAGCTCTTATTTGGTCTACAAAATATAAAGCACTATTTTAATTTTTGAATAAGCATACCTGCCAAGTCTCCTATTTGTTTAACAAGGACTCCCGTACTTTATGACTATCTTCTATTTACCCGTATTTTCTCAAATTTCTTAGTATTTTTCAAAGAAATTTAAAAAAAACTTTTTTTAGTAATCAATATCCTCTAATGGCAAAAATACTTCTCTTATTCCTCAACAGATGGCACTATTGCCAGTAATGCAGTTCATACACTGCCACCCCTGACGCGACTTTACACATTGTCGACTCCCAGGCACTTCTTTGGCACCGTATTTTGAAATTCGCCAATGTTACATTCGCCAAGTCGGGTTTCAAATTTTCTCTCAAAAATCTTCGAATACTAATTCGCGCATGTTTCACTTGCAACATACGATTTAAAAAACGCCTGAGTGAACATGAGGTGTGAATAAATTTAGCTGCTTTAAAAGTTTTTGTGTATTATCAGTCTCTTTTTATCCGGATTTCCTGAAACACCTATTTATTTCTTACTTTTTTGTTTCCTTTTTAGGATAAAGCTTTGTTGTGGGTGTAGGATATATGAGTAGGGTATAGCTTTTTAATTATTTTTCTAAATTTATTTCAAATAATTTATGGTGTCTTTACCAAGTATGTGGACGCAATATTCAATAATGCAGCAGGGTTTTGTACTTTATTGTTTAGTTTTTAAAACTTTTAATTTAAGTAACTACACAATTTATGAATTTTAAGCATTTTCTTTTTATATACGTGTAATGATGAGGAGATTGTTGCTGTCAGCTTTATATATGAATTTATTTCTTTTACTTTTCTGACACTGATATCTATGATTAAATTTAATGTAATGATTCCCATTTCCATGCAGTGCCAATAATATTTGCGTCCAAACAATCGCACTTAGATTTGACACTTTTTTGTAAATGTTATGTCCCAAATGATAAATTCCTTTATACGTATTAGCCAATTCTACAGCTTTGGTCGCCAAGACTTAAAAATTTGTAGCAGTTAAAGTATATTTATGAGGTGAACACAATTTTGATTAAAGGAAACTTTTTATGATTTGTAAAATAAAAATATAATGTAAACAGTAAGCATCAACTTTGATATTCTCATATCATAACCGTATAATAATTTAAGGACAATCTGTTTATTTATTTCTGATTCCTTTAAACAAGATATTGAGTCAAATAAGAGAATCTTGAACAATTTTTAAATTTAACAATTTTCTTTAAATAAAGAAAGTAGTTTTAAAGCAATTGGGTTGAAAGACTGAGGACTTACACTTTTCTCTAAAACAATTAATCGATGTTATGATAATAAAACAAAACTCTTGCGATCAGTTATCTCAGCAAAAGTAAGATTTTTATTACCAACTAAGAAGCAATTATTACCATTCCGCAAGAAACAAATAAAATAAAATAGGTCATACAGTTTTCAGACACACAGAATGCATGACAATCTAAGAATAAATGTTGAACTTTTAAAGCAAATTACAAACAATAAAAGCTATTGTGTAAAACAAAATGAAAAAACAAGTTGTTACAAATGAAACTATTATATGATTTGAGCAACTAAAAAATTCTTTTGGAATTTTAAAGACTAATGAATACTATTAAAAAATATGAGCACTTAATAATGTGATGATATATATAGGGGATTATTTTTTTAAACTTAGTTTATTAATTAAGGTATTCAAAAGAAATTGATTATTCTGAAAATAATATTTATGTAATTAACTGAAATTATTGTTTGTATGCAAATTTTTCTTCCTCTTTTTTAATAGAAGGGCGAAGTATTTTTTCTCGTTATTTGAATTTTTCTAGTCTTAAACAAGGATAAAATCTTCACTTAATTCAACAAGCAACTTTTAAAAATATCCATGAGCGTGAAGATTCGTTTACGAATTTTGCGAGTGCTGTATTGAGTCGAGCATAGGGTTGCCTCTCAGTAGGGTTACTAGATAAGGCGATGAAACAGTTGTCAAATAAAACCGCGGCGAGTGGAGGTGCCCGGGAGTGGACATTAGGGAAAATTGCATCCCTGACCAAACCGGATGTAAAGATAATGCTGTTATGAGTCGTTTATTCAGTGAATCATTTTTCTCCGACAATGAATTTCGTTATTTACCTACGGGAATCTGGCAATAGCTTTGTTTGTTTGCATTGCATTTTAAATGATCATCAAAACATAAATGTATTTCTGTTTTCAGAATCATTTACTGTGGGTGTCAATTGGGCAACTAGAAAAGCAACTGTATAAAAAATAAAAAAAAAGTTCCAAAATATGGTAAATGCTAATTAGGTATCCTGTGTATTCCACATGACAGTGCAGAGCGCGTGGCAATTTTCTCTACAGTTAAAAAAATTCGCTCTGAATTTCACTCATTACGCTCTGACAGGGCCGAGCGTACGCGGGGCCCTAGGCCATTCAAATTTTTGGGGCCCTTTGATTAAATTTTTTTTCGTGTATTTTTTGTTTATTCAAATATAAAAGTATTAATATGTCTCTTCATTTACGAAAGCATATTTAAAATAGAAATAAGTAATAATAAATTAAATTTTACTTTATTTTATTAAACTAGAACTAAAAAATACATAATATTTTGAAAAATCATTGTTTTTCTTAATTTTTTAAAATTTATTTTCAAAAAATCCATCTTAAGGGGGCCCCTAATCAATGGGAGCCCTAGGCCATAACATAGTCTGGCCTAATGGGTAATCCAGCCCTGCGTTCTGATGAAAAGCTTGCTTTTGATAAAAAGTAATTTCTCTGGTAACTGTTATGAATCGAACTTTGATAAAAAAATTTCCTATGCAAGGCCAAATCAGCTACTTATGTTCGAAATATGAATATTTAAAAATTCTGTAAAATAAATCTTATTACGTAGAATTATGAAAATTATTTTGATGTTCAGTGTTTATAGTAGAAGTAATTATGAATAATTTTTAGATTAAGATTTATTTACATATTTTTTACTTCGCTAAATGATAGTGCTTATATTAGTTTCAATTTTGAATTTCTTTTTTTGACTTAAATGAATGTGCATATAGTATCAAAACTATATATTTAAGCCTGCGCTGACATAAAATACCCTTAGTAGTAGACGGATCATGGGTTGGAGTCCTCTTTTCAGGCTAACATGTGAGGTTTTCCTCTCCATGTAACGCAAATGCGAGTTAGTTCTATCAAAAAGTCAAGTTTCTCCCAATACATACTTGATTCGGGAGTTCCCTTGTCTTCTGGATTAGGTTCAAAATGACAAGGCTACTACGTTGAACATTAGTAGTTGTAAACCCACAAATTTGGGTCGGTTGTTCAACAACGGCTATAAAATAAAGTGGTATTGAATAGATTCTTGCTATTGATTGTTTTTCCTTCCTGATTTTTGTGATTTATATTATTTTTGAGATACGCATGTTATAAAATGATTTAAGCTTTAGTGGGAAATTTTATTTGTCTCATTTGCAAATTTTGCTTGCTCTGAGCACCATGTTTGAAAGACACATTATGAAACATGAAACCTTCTTAGAAACTTTCTGATTCAAATTTAGAAAAATTGTTTTTTAAAAATATTAGAAAAAATCAAACTCTAGGATCAAGCGCAAATAAATAACAAAAATAGCCCTATTATAAAATCAAACAAAGTGAAATTTGATGAGCCAAAAGAATTGAAAAGTTTAAAACAATTTTGTGAAAAATATATTGAACTCTTGAATATTTCTCTTACTGATGCATTTTATAAACAAGTCTTGGAAAATATGTAAAATATCTTGTGAATACATGACCATTTTAAGCTTAGCCAAAAACGTAAGCTATTACACTTCAAAAAATGATATCTTACAATTTTTTAGACTTCTAAATTCTATTTCTCTTCTATTCTATTTCTGCCAAAAATATGTACTGCAAGGAAACTTATTTTTTAATCGAACATATTTTTGAGCTTTTTTACTGACGGTTGTTACAGAGATGAAGCTATCTTTACAACTGTCAGTAAAAAAGCTCCTGCCAAACGCCAATGTTCAAAATAAGGTGGACATTGTTAAAAACTCATTTAAAAAAATTTTCACTCAAATTTGTTTTTTACTTAATTGTGTTTAGATACTTAGATACTCTTTAATAGTGAACTTATATAATTTCAAGTTATTTGGATAATATTTTCTTAATTCAGCATGTAAATCGTTAATAATTTCTTATTACTTACAGGATGTTTGCTACATTACAAAAACTTAGAAATGTCATTGGACAGTGTGCTGTATTTTTGTTATCCCCAAACTTCTTAGATGTTATGGATGAACAATTATCTTTATTGCAAACAGTAAGCGGAAATTTTATTGACTTCATATGCCATTTTGTTTTGACTGGAAATATTAATATTAAATTGAAATATTTTAGGACGAGTATAGACCGCATAATGCATTGCCTCAGAAGATACCTATTAAATTTACTCAAGATCGTAAGGACAGGTCAATAATTTATGTTTTTTTATTCATTTTCATAGTGGACAATTGGTTATGTTTTTATAAAAATATGTTTTCTATTTTTTTTACAGATATGTTGTTTTATACAACTCTTTAGCTCATTCCCGTAATGAATTAGTCAAAGTAATTGTGTCTTCAGCATCAGTTGTTGTAAGAGATAGCTCTGATAATTTAGTACCCTCTCAAGTAAATCCTGTATTTAAGAAGAAAAAAATTTCAGAATCTGAATTTGAGGTAAGTTGGATTTCAGTCAATACTTAATTTGGCATTGCATTGGAAAAGTTTTTTTCTTTTTTAAATATATATATAAGGTTTGTATCATGCTTAGTACTTAGTTATTTTAAACTATTTTTTGTATTAACTTGTGCATTTAGGTTTGATGATTGATAAACCAACCTCAGGGAGATAAAAAATAAATTTCTCATTTATTTTTACTTCACTGATTCCTTCTGACTTTTTCTTACTTAAAAACTTCACATGATTCAATAAAAAAAATATAATCTCCAATATAGAACTTTTTATATTTTGATTGAAATTTATCTCTGATTTTAAGGTGAAAATCTAAATTAGTAATAACTTTATTTTTGAAAAAGGGTAAATAAAATATGAACATATTTTTATGAAAATTATTATGATTATTGATTCACTATTGAGTTCGTAGATGTATTTAATGATAATCATTTAATTGATGTGTTGAAATATAATCTGATTGTTCAGCATATTTTCTTTTCTTGACTATATAGCTAAATTTGTCATCTCTAGCTATTATTGACCAATTCTTTTCTCTAAAAATTGTTTTTTTTTCCTATTAGAGAAAAACCTAGTTTGTTATGTATTTATCCACCATCCTTTTTACTAGGTTCTGAATTTTTTTTTCTATGCCCTGTTGGTAAACTACAAGAAAAAAATTATTTTTTTTGAAAAGTGCCAGTTAAAACTTCTAATTCCTTGTGAAAGACAGTCACTATGTTAAAGCAACCAGATCATAAATCAAATTGAATTCAAGATTCTGTTAAATATTAAAGCATATTTTATTATAATCATTTATTTATTTATATAATGAATTCAAAATGAATTTCTCTGCAATGCTGAATAATTTTTAGATTAAAGGAATAAATAAAAAGAATTAAAAAATTTTTTAGAGGATAAGAAGTATTAAGTAAATAAATATTTTAAAGTTTAATTTTCTCAGCAATGCTTACTCTATAACTTCAAAGTAATTGCTTTTATCTTTGAGCAAATTTGTACAACACAGTTAGTTACTCTTGCTCCGTTTGTGATAGCTAAAATTTTAAAAAAACTAATGAAATATTCCTTGTTCTTTGGGATAGCTGCAGTTTATTTTCTTAAATTTAAATTTAATAATGCATGCTTGAAGTATTTTTTAGGTAAATGAAAGTTTAATTTTTATTTTGACTGTACAAAACTCTCGACTCATTATTACATACTAGGTCACACATTGGTCAGCCAGTCAAGTTTGACACACATGTGTGACGCAGCGGGCTAGTAGGTATCCAATTAAATCTGATCCCAAAATCTATTCAGCATTATAAATAAACTAAAACCTTTAAGTTGCAACATTGATATGCCCTTCACAACTGCGTGTTTAGGCACAACCCTGTTATTAGTTGCAAGTACCCAATTGTTAGTTCATTTTTTCTATATCTTGTTTTTATGCCAAAAAAATAGAAATGGAGTTCATACAATGTATTTTTATTGATTTTTTTAAGCATAAAAATGTGTAAATTGCTGAATAAAAAAAGAAAAGAAAACCTGCAAGACATGAAAAATTGTGATTTTAACAAGTTCTCTATCACATAAAATTGCACCCTATTTGAATAAATTTTTTTTAAATTGTAGTTAGTGTTTTATGTTGAACTACCACCTCTTAGTCTTTCAACATATTCCATTTATGAAGTAGAGCGTGCTCTTTCATTTACTCAGCATGCCTCCATAAAAGTTATGAATACAGCTACTCCTCCATTGTCATTGTAAGTACTTAATTTTTTATGTTATATACTTTATGTTAACTACTAATTGTTTCGGTTATTCTTTGTTACACGATTGTATATATTAGTACAAAAAAATATGAAGTAATGTTTGTCAATGAGTGTTTTCTTATTAAAATTTAATTAAAAAATGTTTTGTTTCTTCTTTTGTATAAAAAAATTTCAAAAATATAATGACATGCTATTTAGACTTAGAAGTTGGGCAGCTCTGAAGTGTAGGGCACATCGACCAGAGTCTATTGTACCCAAACCCTAAATCATGAGTAGCGAAGAAGCTTTATAGCTCGAACAAAGTTCAACAAAAACCTCGCAAGAATATTTTGTAATTCCCAGGCCTTAATTGCAATGTTGCTCTAAATGCTCAAATCTTTGAGCAGAATATACCTCGCAATCACAAAGTGTATGTCATGAAATCTCCTCAAGATTACAACCTCGACAAAGAGAATCGGATTCAATATCCATAATTTATGGGTGTCTCCTGAGGGTGCAGTGTCCATGGAGAAGACCATCCGAGTTGTGCCATTGCTCATGGACAATCTTGCCATAGAGCTTGAAAATAGATACCCTGAAGGATGTTGAAGATTTCTTAGATCTGGTTCAGGTCCCCAGAAAATCGCACTGGAGCCAGGTTGTGTTGCTTCATCAGCCAGATCATTACCAGGAATACCCATTTGTCCAAGTACCCAGTGTAGGTATACCTTGTTTTGTGTAGAAAGGTCACAGAAGGCTGAGAAGCATTCCATATTAGTGAAGAGGTGAATTTACACCTTTATAGGGATAGAAAAAGCAGCCTGGCTGTCAAAGCAGATGTGGATAGGTATATTTTGAGAACCCCTGTCTAAGCACATCCTCCAGCACAAGATAATAGCTTAGATCTCAGTCTAAAAAACAGTGGCATAACTACCTAGAGAAAGTGAAGTTTGGTACCATCACTGGAGCAGTAGATTTCTGCCCCTGATTTAAGACCAAGTCTTGATCCATCAGTGTAATATACCAGACAATTACTCTTTTGCCACTGAGGAGATTTGAGCCATTCATCTCTAGTAGGAAAATGGATCTTGAAAGGCTCATGAAAAGCATATCTTAGTGACGTATAATCACTAGGCATAAAAGAAGAAATATCCGACACCTGCGAAATGAGGTGACTCCATGACAAGTGCTTAGAATATTCTTCCCATAAATCAAGGTACATAAGACGTTTTATACTTGTCTGCGCTTCAGCTTTAATGCACAGATTTAACAGGGGAAGCCCAAGTAAGCTCTCAAGAGCAGTCGTGGGAGTGGTCCTAAGACAACCTGACAAGGTTACACAGACCATTCTTTGCAGTCTGTTAAGACTAGACCTGACGGAGCTCATCTTAGTCCTAGATCAGACTATAGTGTCGTATGTGACAATAGGGCTAATAATCATTGAACATCAAGTAAACTATCTTATACCAAAAGCATTTCTGAAAAACCAGAATAACTTCTTGATCCTGCAGACACAGTATTCAAGATGATAACCCCAGTTAAGTTTGGAGTCAAAGAAAACTCTTAAAACCTTTTGTCTATTTTGTGTAACTTTAAAAACCTTTTGTGTAACTCTGACCTTTTATGTATTTGTTAAAATTATTTTGTATGTAATTGTAGAATTTTTTTTTTAAAATTTTAATTTATCAAATTGTACTGCAGTTAAGAATTATATAATTAACATAGTTCTTTAATTCACAGAATTGCAGATGAAAGTGTTGTCATAACTAGCTTGTTATAAGGAAATTCTCATATTAGTGTAAAATAGCAAGGAAAAGACTAAAGTTGAAATAGACATATTTACCTCTTTTTTTATTTATATTTTGAAAAACCATTTTGATTTAAAATACATTGAAACCTCTAGGAAAGACTACCCTCTCTATTTGGGAGGCACAGAAATTTTTCCACAGACTTTGTGTTGAAGAAAACCATTAGAAGAGATCATCAAAACCTCTTCCAGCGACCGTGCAAACCTTGGCATTAAATGCGGAAAAGGTCAAATAGAGAGACGCAAATAAATATCAACAAAAAAAAATATGAATAAAACAAATAAGTTGATTCAAATGCTTAAAAATATTTGTGAGTGGCTCTTAATCAGCGAGTTTTTTTTTTTTGTGGACGATTTCTGAAAGAGATGGACAAAAATCAGAATACACTAAAGAAGATGCTTTCAATGATTTATTATTAGAGTTGAAAGTTAAGTTAGAAAAAAATTTTTTTTAGAAAATATTGAGCATCTCAAACAAACCTCTTCTCATTTTTAAAGCTATATAATTAATTTTAATGATATAAAATTGTATGCAAACTTAAACAAAAAACATAATTGCTTATTTATTTAAAATAGTTCAGTCATTCATAATTTTCAAATTAGTTTTTACACATAATTGTATCAGTTAAGGTCATTTTTATTGACGCTAAATTTTGTTCATCGATTCAATTTTCATGACGCCAACACTAGTGGCATTTCCACACCATGAAAATGACACTGAGTAAAATTGCTTGAGAAAAATCATGTGCCTTTGATATCATTTTGAAGTCAATGAAGGTACCCCCTAGAAGCGACCAACCTCCATTAACGACTATTTTACTGTGGAACAGAGAGTTGTTGCTTTAGAGAATTTTAACTGTACATATCTAGAATAGGTTGCTTTTTCCTACAGATAGTAGACAGGATTATATGGCTCTGTATTGGATGAAAGTCAGTAATTTTTATGACAGAAATGTATGAAGAACTATAAAATTGTACCTTTCTTAAATCATAAGTTTTTACAATAAGAAAGAAAAAAGTAAAATGAAGTGCAATAACTTTTGACATAATTGATAGCATTAAATGATTGTTTTACTTGTAAGCTGCGTGTAAAGGAAATATGTTGGATGTGTGGTCGACAAAGGCACATTTCTTAAGTATGCCGCAGGATTTCTAAAAATAAAAGAAATTCTTCTTTGTTAGGTATAATATAACTTGACTGTGGGGTCTCACACCTTTACTTTATGAAAGTAAAAGGTTAAAAAGTTTAAGGTTGTAGGAAGAAAGCAAGGTGATACGTTTTGTTTTACTATTCTGAATTGTTGTCAAAATAATCTAACACAGTTTTGCAAGTAAATCTTCCATTTTATCCTTTTTTGCATAATATTCCCTATTTAAACAGTGGAAAAATGTGTTCTTGCCAAGAAAAATGTTGCAATGGCAGAAGGGTAAAAATATCAAATTTTTTTATTAATTATTTTTATTGATTGGAATTTATTTCGTTTCAGAGATTTTCTTGTATATCACATTGAAAATACCCCAATAGATTTTACCATCAAATCTGATTATTATACTGCTGTATTTAGTGGATCTAATGGATTACTTAAGGTAATGATTAAAACTAAATCAGATTAATTCTAATTTTACTATTTGATCATATTTTTTTTTTAGTTTATTCATTTAATTTGTTTTTAGAAAGTGATATCAGCTGATTCTGCTATTGACTTAGATATGAAAATTAAATTTTTGAAGTATGGCACTAAAACTAAAGGGAAAGATAAGAGTGGAGCATACTTATTTTTACCAGATTCTGAAGCAAAAGTAATTAAATTATTTATAATTTATGAATGAATATTACTAACTTTCAGTTATAGATAAAAAAAATTATTTTATTGGTTTTTTGTTTACAATTTTCATCTGCTTTTAATTAACATAAATTAATGATTATTTTTCCTAGGAAGTTGAATATAATAAACCTGAAATTATAATTATTGAAGGGTCACTAATGTCTGAAGTTATTGTGTTTTTACATGAAGTGGAACATCATGTTTCCTTAAAAAATTCACCTGGTAAGGTACTTTCATTGAAAAATAAATGTTTAATTTATTAAGTATTTTCATTATGTTAAGTTTTAAAATTACAGGTTTGGATGGAACTGGAATTGATTTTTATAATATGATCAATATTGCTTCTGATACCAATAAAGAGCTCATAATGAGGTTTGAAACTAATATAACCAATGATAACCAAGACTTTTACACAGATTTAAATGGATTTCAGGTATGTTACATTTATAACATATTATGTTTTTGTTAAACTGTACCTAGTCCAATGACGGTTCTGCACATAAAAAGTCGTACTTTAACCTGCAGTCTTTTCTGCATGGCGAAACCGGTTTTCCCATGTTATTAGATAGGGAAAGAGTGTATTGGGGAGAAACATTCTTCTAATTTTGCTCATTCGCTGAACCGCCAATGGGTTAAAACTTTAGATGATAGAGTATTGTTAATACTTTACTTACTAATACCTTTTAAATGTTTGACAGAAATGTCTTTATATAAGATGATTAGTTATATTCTAAAATCACTTCATACAAATGTGTTAAGAGAATTGACTTACTTTGGTATGTATTTTTAGAGTTGTTTAGAAGTCTTTATATTTTTTGTAAAAACCATCTTGTGAATTTTTTTAAATAAACTTGCTTGTTACTTGATTGGTGTGTATTTCAGTTGGTCAAATTTTTATTTTTGAAAGTTACATGATTTTGGTAAGAAATGATGAACATGTTTTCTACTAGCAAATTTTTTTTCATAAAATATGGAGATATAACAGTTATATACTTATGATTATTTTCAAAAGAGATAAATTCTTAAAAATTTTAAAGTTGTGCATATATTATTTTTAAGTGTTAAATCCTTAAGATTTATTATTTTTTTTATTTAAAAAATTTTGATAGTTCTTGCACACTTTCGACTGACATTTGTGGTGACAATTTGGGTAGTGTACAGGAAAACATTAAATTGAGAAATGTGTTGTAAATTTTATCAGAAAAGCTGAAATTGGCTTAAAGAGCAAGTTAAAATTGGCTACAATTAAATTTTAAAATATTTAACAACTATAGCATTTCCCAAATCACCATCAACACATACAGCAGAAATTTAACTATTAAGTTTTTCTAAAAATAAGAATCAAAAGAAGGTAATATATTTTATGTAATTTTAATGTTGATTAATTTATCTATTATTAAACACTATCATTACATGAATTTGAAATAATAAATAAAATAATTTCGAGTAATCACTAAAGGTTACAATTATAAATATTTTTCTGCACTGCTGTAGAGTTACTTAAAAAAATAAATAAAAATCTTAAATTCTATCTTTAATTGTGGGCCCACTTCAATCTCCTCTTCCAGTCTCTCTTTCTTTCTGCCCCTGTCCTATATATTATTTTCAGAAACTTCGAGGAAAACTCTCCTTTGCCTTCTCCTACCTAAAATTTGACAGACAAGTGCTGCTTATATTTTCAATAAAGTAGCCATCTTATATTGCCAAGTAAGAAAGAGGCAGGCTGAGACTTGTTAAAAAAATGGAAGGAAAAAAAAGCTGCAAAATTTGGTTTTGATACAGATGGTTGAATGAAAGTAAACAATAACAAGCTTCCTAAAACCGGAAGAAAGTTAGAAGACTTCTGATGTATCCCTCCACTTGCGTTATGCTTACGAGGTGATGTGTGAACAGGCTTAATATTCTAGGAAGTTTTGTTATTGAGATTTGAGTTTAAATTTGCGCAGAATTATATCATTCATAAGAGTTTTCTGTAATTTATAAAAACTAACAGGTCATGAGCCTTTAACAAAATTAATATCTCAGCATAAATAAAGTGTAAGTTTAGCCATATTTTGAGTATTATGGCTATATTTGTGTAAAATAGCACCATTGGTTATTTTTTGGGTAGCATCAGAGCAAGCTTGCGAACTCTGAAATTCATTTCGTGTTTGTTTAGTTGAAAGTTAGATTAAAAGAACGTGTTATATTGTAATAACTACAAGTATATTAATATTAGATGGTGTTTTTTTTTAAAGCTTAGATGTAAAAATCAGTCGGAAGTAGTAACTCAGAAGTCTTACAAGGAATTTTAAACCCTAGAGCCATCTGTGGGTAGCTTCACACAGTCAACCATCCATAACAATGCAGCCAGGAAAAAATAATTCTAAGAGTAGTAGTAAAATTTAAATAAAACAGGCTGAAGCAAGCAAGTTGTAGCACTGTACATTTTGATAAAATGTTATCCAAATTTATGAAGGACCTAAATTGCATATCTCTGCCACAAATGGGATCTAAATATATATAATATTTGATCAGCATTAGATAGCACGAGTATTATTGCAATTCAATGTAGATCTTTTAAATCATCAACTTCAATTCTTCTGTCTAACTTCAAAGCTTAGACTAAAATTCAAATTTAACTTACAGTATTTGTGTTACTAATCATTGATATATTTTACAAGTTTTTTATTTGTCATTATCTTTTAATACCATCTGCAGCAAAAGTTTAGGTACACTTTGAAATCTTTAAGCTTCAAAATAATACAAATTATATCCCAATTATTTTAATGTTAATGTAATAAACAGATGTGAGAAGATTCAAAGAAAAGAACAAATTAATTTCTAAAAGACTTAAAGTTCAAATTTTACTTGTCTCAAAAGTTTAGACGCTGGATTAAATACAGATTTTTAACAAATCACACTAAGTTAGAAATTTTTTACTTTTTCAATTGTCATCATGAATTTCATTTTTCCTACTTTTAAATTTTATTCAAATTCTTTGTGGTCAAAGCAGTTCATGTATTAAGAAATTTTCAGAATTTAGAAGTTAAAAATAAGATTATATCAGAAATCTTAGTTTAAGCAAATGGGAAGAATTTTAAACCACAAGCACATTGTTAGTAAAAAACTGAGAAAAATAAATTAGCAAAGATAGAAACAATTCAAATAATCTTACCAAAATTGTTCAACAAATTATATCAAAAATCAAAGGAGCCTTGTTGTTTCAAGAGATCTCATTCATAGGCAAACTTGTGAATTCTGATATTGCAAAAGGTGCTAAATGGTACGAATTTTTTGTCTTAAACTACATTATAAAAAAATGAGATTAGGTTGAGCTTGCAATTGCATGTCAAATCGCTATGATTGATTTAATGTTCTGTTTGACAATGAATAAAGTGTAATTTTGGTGCTCTTAACAGCTATAGTTATCATTATCATAACCTAAGAAAGTGTGGCCAAACAAGTTAATCATTTTTGAATAGTTGTCAAAACTCATTTGAAGCCACTTATATTACCTTTCACGGATGTATTAGGTGGATCAAAGTGGGTTTTTAAAAAAGACAATGCCAGTTTATTTAAATCTAGGACAGTAAATTAATGGCTTAAAGGTAAAGAATATAGCTGTTTTACCCACTATCAGTTAAAGAATATAGCAGTTGTCTCACTTACTCTTGATATAAATCCATACAAAATGTTTAAAGAATCGTCTAATCAGTACAGAAACTGAAAGAAGCCATTGAAACAACATGATTGAATTTTGCGAAATCTTGTCCCTTCTACGAAAAATTATGTATTTAAATTGATTTTAAAAAAAAGAGAATTATCTTATCACTTTTTCAACCTCTTGGTTCTTTTTTTCGGACACATGTTCCCATTTTTTTCTTTGGCCCATTTTCCCCTTTTTTGACTTAAAAATTGCTGAAAAACCTATCATTCATTAATTTTAACTGAAAAGAGACATTTTCCAAATTTTACAGAATATTGCTATGATATTTGTATCATTTTTAATGTTTGATGCTAATTTTTATTACTAAGGAAAACAATAATTCATTTTTGTTTTCATTGAAATTTCCTATTTCGTAATTTACTTTTCTATAAAATTTTTTTAAAAAGAATTCAGTAATTGTTCATTATTCTTAATATGTCTCTAATTTTTTTAGATGATTAGAAGACACAATTATGATAAATTGCCAATACAGGCTAACGTGTATCCTGTGAGTACAATGGCTTATTTTGAAAGTAATGACTTAAGATTCACTTTTCTTACATCTCATTCTGTTGGAGCTGCTAGTTTGCAACCTGGTAAATAAATTATTTTTATTTCAAATTTAAAATTTCAGCTATTCATTTTGTCTGTAATTATTTTAGATATAAAAATAAGTCTATTATTCATTATTAGAAAAGTCTGAAAAATTTAAAAGTACGATATAGAAAATAAAAAAGCAAAATACTCTCAGAACTTTTAATCTAATGATCTTTTCACATAAGTGTAAGCTTAGTAGTTCAAAAAGATAACTCTAAATATTCAAATTATTTTTTACCGAATAAGATTTATCACATTATTTTAAGTTACAAAATTTGATTCATAAATGTACCTGCTTAGAATAATTTTTTTTAACTGATTCACATTTTAATTCCCAAACTAAGCTGTTGCAATCTGTGTCTGAAATTAAACACTTATAAATCCAAATGATTAACAACAGATATAAGTTGGCTGGATAGTAATAAACCCATAATGATGATGTAACCCATAATGCTTATTTGTAACAAAAAAATTATAACTCAAATTAATCATGAGTTATTTTTGTGAGTTATGATTTCTGAGCTTCATTTAATGTTTCAAATGTCACTCCTAAAAAGCAAAATATATCACCACGATTTTTAAATTCTGCTTAACGTATCTAGTATATTAGATTTTGTTTTGACACTTTATCTAGTATACTTTTGATTTTTAGCAAATATTTTCTACATGAACAAATATTGCTTTCTATTTATAAAGGTAAACACTGTTATAATTTGAATTAAAAATAGGTTTTGTTTAATAATTCATACTATTCTCTTCTTTGCTTGGCGTGACCCATAAAGAGACTTTTTAATTTAAGAACATGATTTTCTAATTTCAGTTCAGAAGGACCTTTTGGTCATCGATGTACATTACTTCATTTAACTTCCCGTTTGAATATGAATTTTTAATATTTGCATTACATGATATCCACTCATTTAGAGCAACAAAAATTTTCATTAATATTTTAACTATAGCGAAAATTCCACAGGGGAAAATATATTGTTATTAACACCTTTAATTTGTTAATAGTCTAACTGTAAACCTTCTAAAAATTTTCCTGTAGAATTTTCCTTAAATATAAATATCTATTTGTCCTCTAAAATATTGGTATTACTAGGTTTTGAAATTATGTCACATACATTCGTATCCTATTAATTTCCTTTTGTATTGCATTTAACCATTTTTCTGTTTTTTGGATGTATTAATAAATTCCTCAAAAGAAATTAGGATTTTTAATTTTTAATAAATTTTTTTTAGAACCCAAATTTGAATAAAAACAGAATAGAATAAAATTAAAAATAGTATTGCTATTTAAATCCTTCACTTTTGTCTTGTTTTTGTGAAAAATCATTATTTTTCAATATCATTTAAGCATGTTACTCAAGACTACTGTTTTATACCTTCTGACTCTGAATAATATATAAGAGCAGATATGTGTATTATAACTGTTAAACGCTTATTTTAGTCATATTAAATCAATCTATGTTCATACCAATTTTCATTAAAATCTGCTAAGTATTTTTCAGGATATTTGACCAAATCTTTAAATTCTCTTAATTTATACTCTAGTGTGTGCTTATTTTTTTTGTTCAAGATTTATTTTCAACTTGTTGCTAATTATGTAAATTTATTTTTCATCAAAATTATATTTAATTTGGTTTAAATTTCTTATTTTGGTATTGCAGTGTTTGATGCTAAGAACAGCGAAGTATATGTATGACAGAATTTAGATCTACTTACAAAATTTCATTTATTACTTGGTATGAAAGAATATTAACTATCAATCACTAATTATTCATAATATACTGTTGCTCCAAGTATTATATTGTCTAAATTTTATTAATATGAAGTTCTTTTAACTGTTTTGTTACTTGATCAAATTTCCTTCCAAACATAATTTTGTTTAATTAACATGAATTGAAACTGGTGTTTAGTGATCAAAAGCCACCACACATTGTGTTATGTTCCATACTGAGTTTGTTACACATAATCAAAGGGTTAATCTCAATATGTTTCTTCTATTAACTTTTTTCTTTTACATATATAAGTAAATTCTACTTTTAGGTCATTTTGAAGTGTTTTTGGACAGAAGACTGAATCAAGATGATAACAGAGGTTTGCAACAAGGGGTTACTGACAATCGAGATACTCCTGCTTATTTTCGAATAATTTTAGAACAACGCACAAGTCGTTTTATGGTAATATTAAACAAGTTCAACAAGGTTTTGGTTCATCTATTGAATTATGCTGTAACTAATTTTGTTGTGCTATATATCTGTGACATCAAATAAGCTTTCAAAATTTCCTTGTATAAAAACTTTAGGTAAAGTTTTTATTGTAATTTTTTTGAAGTGAAATTTTATTAATATGCCTGAAATCTGAGCTGCTCTGTTGCTAGGAGCATATGAATCTGTTTGCCACTGCTTTTTACTACATTACTTATATAATATAAAATTTGAAACTTAAATGCTACCTACTTTCCTAATAATCTACTTTTGTTAGAAAATTAATATTAAAACAGGACATTTTTTCACATAACAGTAAACATAACTCTGAACTCTAAAGTGGAGTTTATGATCTTATCTATTCATTACATTCTACTTTAATATCCATGCTATGTATAGTAAAAAAGCATGAAATTAAGTTGTGATATTCGATCACGTTTGTAAACTTATACTTATCTAAAAGTATATTTTTGTTTTAGATGTATTATATGAATTTATGATAATGCTTTTTAATATTTTTCTAAATATGAATAAATGTAAGAAATCTCAATTGCAACAAAGAATTGAATAATTATTTCTCAGCCTTCTCAATTTTGTTTGCAATTTAACTGAATGTATTGTAAATGTCTTTCATATAAAGATTCACAAAAAATGTAACTGTTTTTTGACTAGGTTTTTTTTTTAAAAAAAAGTAAAATTTTTCCTACTTCAGCTCTTAAACATTTTATGCATAAAATCCTTTTAAGCATTATTTTATGTGTATTACATTATGTTGCCTTAGTCTTTCATTTATTTCTTTTATATTATTGTTCTTAAACATATTTTTTATTATCTTTTTTTTATTTGCTCTGCTTATTTTAATTCACTTTTATTTTATTTTTTATCTTAATTTTATTTTTGTATTAAAAAAATGTATGTTTATTTCTATTTGGTTTTCAAAGTTTTCTTTAATATTTATAAAGATAAATGTTAAGAGTTATTAATCAAAGATTTTATTATTTTTTAGGGCTCTACAAGTTATCCTTCTCTTCTGGCTCATCATGCCTCATTATCTCTTATTCATCCTATATTTGTTTTAGTAAGATTAGATAAAGATGTAGAATCCACCATTGTTTTGAGAAACCCCGATGCTCCTCTTAAAACTAGTTTTGTTGCTGTTGGATTGGAGTTACCATGTGATGTACATTTAGTGAATTTAAAGACTCTACAAGCACAAACGGGAACACTTAATTTACCATCTAATTCTACAGTCCTTTCTTTACACCGAATGGGCTTTGATTTTAGTTTTAAGATGTGGGGCCAGTGCACTATGCAAAATGGAACAGTAAGTTTATTTTAAATGTTTATCTTAAAATGTTATTTTCACAGATTTTTTCAAAATGGCAATTATCTTAATCCAGGGTTCCCAATGTATTTTTACCATTGTTGAAAGATAATTCTCACTGAAGTAATTTGGATCTGAACTAATTTGGATTTCAGTTACAAAGCAGGGTTTCCACAGGTCAGGGAGAACAGGGAAAACCTGGAATCATCAGGGAATTTTATTTTAACTCCAAATATCAGGGAAAGTTGCAATTTTTTTTTTTACAAGAACCTGTAATATTCCTATATCATACCTGGAAAATAACCAGTCTTAAAATTGTCAGTAACAGTAATCAGTTATTGAGATTGGAGTTATATAATTACAATTATTTGTTGCAAAAATTTCACATTTTAGTCAAACTGAAATGTTCCCTTCCCATTTAATAATATCGTTTTACACATAAAATCTAGTATTTCACATTACAAATAAAAGAATCAAAGTTTGCTGATGAAAATATGGTCTCAATTTTCGTTGAAATTTATCTGGTATACCTGGAATAGTCAGGAAAAAAATTTCTGAAATTGAGTGGGAACCCTGACAAAAGTGTTTCAATAATTAAGTTAATATAATTATGAAAAAATTATTAATGAAAATAGTTTTAGTATTCATAATATAAAACTTAATGCTTTTATAATATATTCAAAAAGAATGTATAACAGTTGTAAGCTTGTTTTATAATGAGAAGTTGAATTTAATTCCAGAAGAAAATTTCTAGTCAAAGTATTTCCACTTGACAGTATCAGGAAAAAAAGTTCTTAAAGTAAACATTTATTTTAAAGCAATATTTAAATTTATAAAGTACTCCAAAAAGTATATTTCGAAATGTTTTTTTATGTTTTAAAACAATTTTTATTAACTAAATTAATAAAGGATGAATATTGATCAATATTGCAAAATTCATTTGTAATAAATATGTTTTCCAAGGGAAACATTTTTCATAAAAAAAATCTTTGGATGCGTCCTGATCTAAATTATGCCACTGATATTTCAGTTGCACTTGAGAAAAATAAAATCTGTAGATAGTAGGGTGTTTTTCATTACTTTTTCAATCATTTTTATTTCTGTTTTATGCAAGTAGTTTTCTCAAAACTATATTATTTTTGGTGCTTTTTCAGAAGTCTCCTGAAAGCTTTCAGTTTGTGCTTAGTAAGTAAAGTAGAACTGACTTCATTCCCCTTTGAAATTAAAAAATTCCTTCCGTTTTGGAACTCAATCTAAAAAATATTTTCATTGTTACCTTTAACTTGACCGGAGCAGTCAAGTTAAAGGTAGCTTTTGTCCTTTAGTCTTTAATAATTAGTAACACATGCATTTATTTGTTTTCTTCCTTTTATTTTTAATGCTCTCTATATCCATACTTATCCTTTCTAAAAATTTAAATTCTTAATTATGTATATTCTGATATACAAAAGTCATCCATGCTCATAATTTTAGATCTAATTTCTTATTGCGAAGCGCGAAACTTTTTTTTTATTCCTCAGACAATGATTTTGATGTTTCCATCTTCTTTCAATGATATTTATCTGACATTTTAAATAAAAAAAATCATAGTTTGTCAATGAAAAATTGAATTGTATAAATAATATATGATCTGGATTTCCAATGAAATTTTCCAGAAATACCCGGAAAAGTCAGGAAATTTTTTTTCTTCTGAAATTAAGTGGTAACCCTGAAAGAAAGTAGAGATTTTGAAGAAGTTTGATGAAAGTTTATCCATTAAATTGTTGAGTGAGTTTAGCAATATTAGCTTATGGATCATGAATGATATAGAAAATCTGAAAAAAGAAGATAGAAATAAAGATATTAGCAAATTCTAAAGAAAAGTGTTGATGTGCTGTAGTAGAACTGAACAGTTTCCATTAAGGCCGTTCGCTTGCTCGATTGGGAGAAAATCAACCCTGTTTTATTCTATGGAGAGTTCAAAGCTACACTAAATCTTCAGTTTTCAAGATAATAATGTTCTGTTTGTTGAAAATGAAAGAAAAGAAAAACATCTTTATTATAATGTCTGGAATTAAACAAAAAATTTTTTTTACTATTTTTAAAATTCAAAAAAGTTTTTCTTCTAACAACTTTTATCCATAGTAGTTTTTTTCTCTTATTGTCTAGTTTAATACATTGAAATTCTTATCTTTCATTATTCACCTGGAAATTCATGGTCCCTCAATTTATCTCGCTCCCCTTTCATGCCTGTTTCCTTCCACCCATAGTTTTTTCAATTCCAGTTCTTGTCTAGCATGGAAACGGTCCTAAGTCAGCAACTGATAATAGCTTTAGCTTAAAACTTCAACCGTGATCTTGGAATAAAATAAATTTGTGAATACATTGCCACTGTCAGAGGATTTATCCATTTTCGAAAATAACATAATTAATGTCTCATGAAGCTAAGTTCAGAAAAAGCCATAGAGAATTATGTGGAATCATGTTCAAACTCTAAATTTGACTTGAGATAAAATTTTTAATGTTAGCAAGCGCAACTTTATTTTCAGTTATGTATACATTAATAACTAAAACTAACCCTAGTGGGTTAAAAGTTGCCAAATCTAGGATGCGGCTTTGGCCTGTGCTAACGCATTGGAAATGTGTAAACTATAGCTTACTGTAATTGGTAAGAGTAATAATCCTATCTTTAAAAAGATTAAAGTTCTACTTGTAAGTTATGAAGCCGATAAAAAGCTTAGGTAATGCAGTAACTTTACAGTATGGTTTAAATAAAATAAAAATTCCAAACCCCAGACACTTTATAATTTAGTAATGATATCATAAGGCTTGATAAATAGTTTTTAATAATTTCGCAGTGCATACACTTCCAATTGAACTATAGTTGAACAATATTGATATAGAGTACCTTCTCATAATCTGCACATTGTTAATTCAGACCCTAGATAGAGTTGTTTAATATGATTTTTTTGTGTGTTTTTTTTCTTCAAATTGTTTTATTATGGATGCACTAATTTCTGATACAAAATCTCTAGCTTATAATAAAAAATTCTGATAAGTCAGATAAATGCAGGGTATCTACGCACCTGGAAAGTCATGGATTTCGGTATTGAACAAAATCTGTCATGAAATGTCATGATTTTAACTTTTTTTTTAAGGAAAAATATTGGAAAGTCATGGATTTAGGTCGCCGAAAAATCTAATTTTTATAATGAAAATTACCCCCCCCCCCATTTCAAATTTCATGATGTTCCGAATATCTGAATTTGACAAAAACCCCACTCACAGTCGTATTTTATTAAAATGTAAAATGTTTTATCGTGTTCTTTAAAAATTATGGTGTTCATTTAAAAACTGAAAGAAATAACATCATTTCTAGAGAAAATTATCTTTTAATCTTCTGTGAATCACAATTTTTGTATCTTTATTATTTTTATTTTTTAATTTAAAATTCTAGATGAAGCAAGCTAGTCATAGCATAGTAATTTTTTTTTGGCTATTTCATTGCTTCAACTCTTTCTTTACTCTGTTTTTTAAATTTAAAATCTATAAATATGAAGATGCAGAGTATAACAGTTTTGGTTATACCTTTCATTTTAATTAATGTTATTCTAATGCTTTTTTAAATTTATTGCTGTGTTTTTGTCAGAGAAAATAGTAACTTCGTTAAGTCATGAAAAATTCTTGGAATTAGTCATGAAAAGTCATAGATTTGAAGATCTAAAATGTAGCAAAATACCCTGTAAATAATTCTAGTAAGTTCTTTCTAGTAAGTCCAAGTTCCTTTACTTATATGTTTCTGACAAATATTTTCCTCTCTCAGATTATGTATATTTTGTAATTTAAATGAAACATATTAATAATGTGGAAATTTTTAGATGTCTGTTGCTTCATTGTTTCCTAACTTATTTGGGAATACAGTTGAAGAAATGTCTCTTTCCTTGATGTATTCTGGCAGCAAGTTTACTAGAGAAGCATATGTTCAACTTCCTACTATGGAAATAGTTACCTTTAAATTAAATCAAAGGTAGCTCACAAAGTGCCTTATTGTCCTTAAAATTTTACTATGTGATAGACATTAACAAGCTATTAGTTATCAACTTCAACGTAAGAAACATTCATCCTTCTATTTTAAGTCATTTTTCATCTTTGAAATACATTGCAACATACTTGTTATTATATTGTGTAATTGGAATTTTATGAAACAAAATCTAGTCAATTTGTATTGTACTCACATTAAAAAAATATATATCACACCATTTTCTAATATACTCAGCAATATAATGAATTAAAGACACTAATACTGAAAGCTCGTATAATTTTGGATGATATAAAAATTCTAGACTATGCAATTTACTCTGTGAACATGTTTTTTATAAATGTTATGCCAAACTCCTTACCCTGCTAGTCTGTGAAATTTGTGATAAATTGTTTTACATTTTTTGCATACTTAAATGATATTTTCTCAAATGAACAGCTTGGTAGGGGAAAAATTTTAAGTGAACCATAATATCTCTTCCAGAACTGGTTAGAAATTAAATGTCATTAATTTTCTATCACTATTAATATTTTGTTTGTATATTTCATCATTTCTTTTTACTCCTTGTATCGTAATAGTTCTTTATTCTATCAATTGAATTAGTTACTGATGATTTATGAAAAGTATTTCTAAAGTATCAATTATAAAGAAAAGTAAAAGTGAAAAATCTGTACAAAAAGAAAAAATGCTAGCAAAAACTGTTTTCATTTGAATTCAGCTTGTCTCTCTCATATAAGGTAAATGGTTAAAAAAGCCTTCTAAAAATATATTTATCATGACATTTGTTACACTGATTAATTTTATGAATGTGAATTCTTTTGTATTGGAAATCCTTATGCCTGTCAGCAGTTTATCAAAAATAAGAAAGAAGTCAGTACAAAAAATAAGTTATCAGAAGTATCAAAAATAAATTTTACTGATCAGTTTTAACTTTTCTCTCTAGAGCTGAAATTGAGAAAAATGCATTTTAATATAATAGGTTGTTTGAAAACCTCATTAAAGTCTTATTCTGTGCCAGTTTTTTTAAAAAAAAATATTAAAAAAAGCTTTTAATTCTTGTCCAAATATTATTACTCTTTGAAAACCTAATTTACTGTCCTAAAATATCAAACAATTTCAAATTAAAAGAGTTTATCAATAGCTTTTTTTTTTAAAAGAAAAAGATATTGTGCAGAATATTAAGTTTCTGAAATTTTTAACTTTTTATCTGAATCTCATACTTTTTGCTCTTATACTTAAGATTTTATTTGTCTATAAAAGAACTAAACATATAAAACGTTGAAATTGCATTTTATAGGCAAAAATAAAGAAAATAGATTAACAATTAATTACTTCTTTCTTAATTGGTATGCTTTTTCAATGCTTTTCAATAAATTTTTGTAATTTCAAAGTAAAAAGAAAATTATCATTTTGCAATCAGATGCTCTCCTTGCAACCATTTTGGTAGCTTAATAAAAAAAAATTGCTCATAATCTAAGAGCTGAGTGGATGAAGGTTTCTAAGAGACATATTTGTAAATTTACTAATTTGCTAAGTTTTTAGATACTCCCTAGGGCATTGCAATCTACTTTCTCCCATAGTTGTAGAAATATTCTCTAATCCATCTCTTACATAGTTGCCATTTTTTACAATTTCTTGTTATGATTCTTTTAGTGGTATAGTGGTAGCAATATAAAAATTTAATTAACAGTTTTTAAAAGTAATCATTTTGACTATGCAAGCAATAATTTAATAATTGGAGGATATTGTTTTGACTGTTATGTATTTATATACTAAAATCATTCATAATGATCATTCATAATGATCATTCATCATTATAAACAAGAATCATTACAAACAAGTATTTTAAACAAGAATCAGTATGAACCGGAATCGTTTTAAATAGGAATGGGGCCGGGATAGCCTGGTTAGTAGGATGCTGGACTCTCGTTCGTGAGAACAGGAGTTCGAATCCAGCCGGCTGAAGATTCCCCGTGTATTAAATGGTGACTGGTGTACATTAAATCTGTGGGGTCACAACATCCTCCATGTTCCCATTAACAAATATAAACCTCTGGGGGTGCTGAATTGGAGATTACTCATTTTCTGGTTTTTGGTCAAAATCACAATCTGTGGATGTATGAATGTGTCCGCCCTATAAACAGGTGTGAAATATGGATGTGGCAGAAGTCTAATTCTTCACCAGAGATGGCGCCACTGGAAAACAAGAACAAGCGCACCCTTTTTCTTAATAACCTTTGACAACATTATAAATCAGAATCATAAAATCAAAATTGTGATCAACTTTTTTCAAATATAAATATTAATGTATAAATTTTTATTACCTCTTAAAAAAATCTCCTAAAAAAACAGGTGATTTGGCAGCTATGCTATTAATTCATAAATCAATGAATTTTTTTCACTCTATTTTTTTGTTTCATAGGTTTTTTTTAATTGTTGACCTCTATTTAGGTTCAAAATCAATGTGAGTAGGCTAATTTTATCCTTCTCCACTTTATCATTCGCTACTGCTATGGTTCTTCTTTTTGTTGTTAACATTAAGTTTTCAGAACTATATTGGTATGGTTCAAACTTTTTAAAGAACATGGATTTTAAATTATTTTTGTATATGGCACCATTCTTTCACATAACTTTAAATTTATTCAGTTTTTTAATGGGAAAAGATACTGTGTGTAATTCTGTTATCGTTGACAAAATAAAAACTAAATTGGTTGGATAATGTCCTATATAATGGAACTTTCATGTAATATGTATACACATTGCATGATATGAGGTTTCAGATCTATGTTAATTAATTGTAATGTCCATTAATATAAAATCTTACTTAAAAGCATATCCCAATTTTCAGAATGTGTAAAGATATAAATAATATGTTTGTCTTTTTTTTTTAGCTCGCAAGCTTTTGATTCTATAAATCACACATTTAAAGCGTTAAGAGGGTTTTCCTAACAAAATTTAATAATGATAATAAGAAAGCAATAATAATTATAAAATAGCAATAATAATAATAAATATATATCAATAATTAAATAGCAATTTGACACCAAGTATAAGATAATGCGTAAAAAAAAACTTCCAAAGTTACAGCAAAAATACTTAATACTCACTGAATATAGAAAATAACAAACCATTTTTTTAAATTGAAATCATTTTAAAAGGCAAATTATAGGAGTTCTTTACAATACTTTTCAGAAGTGTTTGCATTTCAACAATATATATACCTATGTTAAAAACTCCCATCAAAAATTTAAAGTCCTAACTTGAATTTTAATATTATATTTGAACTTTAACATAATTTGAAAATAAGTTTTAGGAAACACAAAAAGTTAATCGTAGAGACTTTCTTGATAGAATCAAAACCACCCTTTTAACTGTTTATTCTTACATTCATTTAAACTGTTTGTTTCTTAGCATTCAGTCACTTGATGTTTCAATATGCTGCCAAAAGACAGATTTTTTAAAGTTGCTCACTATTGCTAAATACACTTAAAACCTTTATTGTAAGCTCAGTCACTTAGTACTTTCATCCACTGAAATCTCTGAAGTTTGAATGCTTTTGAAAATAAATCAATGCTGGTTTGTTAAGATTACAGTAAGATAAAAAGCAAATTTCCCTAATCTTTTTTTTTCTTTTCAAAAATGCCAATTTTGACCTTGTTGTAATTGTAAGGTTGATATTGTAAGCTTTTCAATATCAACCTTTATCAGACTATTGAATTTATAACTAAGTCAATAAGCATCTGATTATTTGAATCAAAATACAGGATGTCATAATAAATTTGACGTTATTATGCAAATAAATGTAACATTATGATGCAAATAAATGCAATCAATTTATCATTATACAAATAAATGCAATAAATTAACATTATTATGCAAATAAATGTAATGTTTTTATACAAATAAATGCAATCAACTCAACATTATTATACAGATAAATTCACTGAATATAACATTATTACGCAAATAACATTATATTGCAAATAATTGCAATAAATTTAACATTATTATGCAATATGCAAATCAGTTTATGCACATAAATGCAATAAATATAACATTATTATGCAATATGCAAATCAGTTTATGCAAATAAATGCAATAAATTTAACATTATTATGCAAATTCAGGGCTTCCTGTTTCTAATTAAAAACATAAGGCTATGATTATTTCACGCCTTGTCATTTTATGAGTTGTGGGATTTTGTGAATGTTCTTCTCATTGATGGCTACTTTCTCATTCAGGGGTTTCTTAATCAATTTGTTCTTGTGAGGTGGATATGATTTGTAAATATAAATTTCAAAAGATTTGTGTTTTCAAGAATATGTTTTATTTAGTGCCTCTAATTGAATTTTCTTCTGAAGAATATTAAATATTCATATTACAGTGCAACCTCGAAAATCCGGACTGCTGGGGGGTTTGGAAGGTCCGGATTTCCGAAATTTCCGGATTTTAGATACCTTACTTGAATTGATAGAATTATCGAAGTTTCGAATTCTCCAGGCCGATTTCGCGATTAATCACGCTTGTGTAGACCTCCGACGTCGATTTTAACATAAATATGCTCTTTAAATAATAAATAAAAGACATTAAAAATCAAACTTTCGTCATTTTACCCAGCAATCGATCGTTTAGATAACATAATATAAGCAATTAAAACTGAAAATATAGGCTTAAAACGCGAGCTGAATTTCAACTTATAACCGAAACAGATGCTTCTAGACTAGACTGTACCAGCTGATACTAATCCTTTTTTTGTTGGGGGATGAAAGAACTTGTCCCCGCCTCCTAAGCTTCAAGGTTAAGAAAGAACCAGTTTTCTTTCATCACAAGGGGGAAAAACAAGGAGATGGAAGAATTCCTCCTTCTGAGCGGATTCCCCTTCAGGAGGAGGGGGATTCCCTTTTATATTCTTTGTTATCTATACAGAACTGATAAGAGTGACTGGAATTTCCTTATCCACTATGAGCTTTCATTCATTCCCCACCTCTACCTCTTCATCTACTGCTTCATTGTTACAAAAGAGTTGTGGGATTCCCCTTCAGGAGGAGGGGATTTCCCTTTATATTCTTTGTTATCTATACAGAACTGATAAGAATGACAGGAATTTCCTTATCAGCTATGAGCTTTCATTCACACCCCACCTCTACCTCTTTGTCTACTGCTTCATTGTTGGAGAAGAGTTGTGGTTTTGCATTAAAATTTTTATTCCAAGCGATAATTTTTAAATTTTTTCTTTTGAAATTTTTTTCTGAGGAACTGGACATATGAGTCCGGATTTTAGAGATTTCCGGATTTCAGAAGTCCGGATTTTCGAGGTCGTACTGTATTTTACTTTTAAGAGTTATAGAGGGTTTCTCAAATAGATGAAGCTGGTGTTACATCATTCACGATCTTAGCAGTATTTTTTTGTGTATATAATTTCTTACTATTATTTTAATATATTATATTTAGTTTTGATTATTATTGTTTTCATATGTGTTACAATTTTTCCTTTAAAATTATTTTGAGAAAATTTTTAAAAATGAACGTACAGTCAATTGTCAAGAATTAGGTTCAATGACACTTTCACAATTGTAGTGTATTTTTGGTGTTTTTATTTTAAAACATTAAGAGTTTATTCAATGAAGTATAAATAAGTCAACTAGTTAATTTCCAAATTCTGTTCCTTATATTTTGTTAAAAATTTTTTAAAGACTGTGTTCATGAATGATATATAAATGCATCATTCAGGGTTTCCACGGGTAACTAAAATTGCTAAACGTGGTGACTAATAAAATTCAAAATTTTAATGCAAGGGATTAAAATTTGCAACTTTTTATAGCATATTTTTTCAGTTGACTATTGAAAGTGACTACAACAAATGTTTATGT